TTACTGGAGACAATTTGTCTTGTTTTGCAGGTAGATCTTGTTGAATCTTGGTAGGACATGCATATTCCTCCTCCAATACTTCTATTGCCTCATCATAGGCTTTGTCATCAACAAATATGTCTTCAATTATTCTGGGGCTTCTCCTTTTAAGGATCCTTTTAGCATGACAAACTTCTGAGCATTTTTTTCTTCAGTATGGGTCATTTATTTTCAAGTTTGCATGAATGTAATGAAACTATGAGCATCTCCAGAGAAGGGAGTGATTTCTAGCTTGGGTTGCAGGGCCATTCCTCTCATGACTCTTATACCCCAGAAGCATTTTGCTGTGGTCCAATTGTCCTGAAGAACCACATTTTGTAAGTTATTGGCATCCCCTGCTATACTTAATTTAAAGTAACACAACATTCAAAAAATCCTATGCTTTCAAACATAGACCATTCTAGTACATTATACATGAGTACATTGGAATGGGCAGTCATACAAAGTCCTGTTTTATCCATTTTACTGTTTTTTTCTTCTTTCTCGTCCAGTAACAATTAAAAGAAAGGTAAGGACATAAATACGAACATAAAGAAGAACGTACTTTTTTCTTAATTTTTGTGTGTAAACTTCCATCTAAGTTCTCTTATAAATATTGGTCATTCTCAAGTCTTGACTTGTATGCAACATGTGATAGATGAGGTGAATATTTTGAAAATTTCAAGTTTTCAGCATGAATGCAAAAACTTACTGCTTCAAAAAATCTCTGTCCCATGAAAGTTTCATGTTTTTTCATTCTACCCTGAATTGTAAGAAAGTTGTAAGAAGCATCGTGGCATAACTTTTAGAAGGACTTTCGGAACAGTTTTTTCTCCGTCCTTTTCTTTTATCTATGTCATAAACTGGAAGTGTTTATGACATGTTCGTTTTATAGAACGAAGTTACCTTTAGGGTTTACCCATTGCAAAGTATGTATCTATTGATCCCCAGCTGTAATCTCAAGTAAAAAGTAGACTAACTTGGAATTTTTCTGTGCACTCATTCTTTTGCTTGGCATTTAAATCAAAATATACCATCATAAAATTGTTATGAAGTCCTAATTTTAACTCGTATAAAGATCTTCATGTTCAAAAGAAGCTAATAGATTTCTTGATGATTTCCAGCAGTATGGTTTATTTTAGATGCTAGTGAAAGGTGTGAAAGATGCTGCAAAAGGGATGCATGTTAAACCAATAACTAATAACATAGAAGAGAGAAAGAAAAATTAGTTGATTTCTTGATTCTGAACCTTCATGAGGAATGTCCAACTCATGCAAAATAACTTTAAAATATTCATGTTCCTTGCAATCAATGACATGGCAATGCTGCAAAGGGAGAAGTTCATCTTCAAGTGTATCTGGACTTTACCCAAATGGAGTTAATCAATCAAGGGTTTCCCTGTCACTGCCAGTTTTATAAAATTCCAAAATCAGTTTTTAAGCTGAAAATAAGGAAAAGTTGCAGTTACTAGAAATCATGATTTTTACATAATTTCCCCCAGTTATTATTCAGATTTTTGCAAAAAATATAATTCAGGGGGTGGCGCCAGATTTTCATTTGCACAAAGGCACTGCACCTCCCAGCTTCAGGACTGAATTAACCCAACTTTCCTTGTCCAAGTTTAGCATCCTGTCAACTCATTCAAGAAGTAATTCAGGGATGGTGGAAAAACCTGGTCATTCCAAAACCAGATCATGCCTTTCCTGGAACGAACTGATAAAAAAATCAGAAAATCTTCCAGCACCTCACAAATGGACCAACCTAGTATACTGCCAAAAAATCCATGAAGTCCCAACATCTTGGGTAATACATAAAAGCAGGGAGGTTATTCCTGACAACAGTATTCTGCAACAAGATCAATTGGCAATCAGATTCCAGTATTCCAGTCTGAGGAGGTTTGTAACTGAACAGTCAGCCAAACAAGTACATGACTATAGAACCAACATTTATATCAAACATGTTAACATTTAGAACCCCAAAATGTTGGAAACTGCAAAAAGCAACTCATACGAGGGTTCTAACAAAAGTTCTTGGAGTAGCAATGAAAATGGCTTAAAATTGATCTAAAAAAAATGCATTCTTCAGAGAAAACATATTATTTGGCACACAAAAAATATCAGCCCTGTTGGACAATTTTTTTTTTTTTCATAATTTACCCTGGCAGAGTTTTGTTCTCCACTCAAAAGTTTGACAGCCACCTTCACAGCTGCCAAAGTGGTGGCCAATGTGGCGGCTGATGATGTAAATGGCAGAATTGCCTTGGATGACCTGGATGCAACCCTTGGAAAGAATGCAAAGTTGATTTCACAAATTCTGAGGAGAAAGCTGGGCTACAACAAAAAAGGGGCGCCCATCTTTTGAGTGGAGAGCAAAAATCTTCCAGCGTGAATTATGAAAAAAGATTTTGAAAAAGTTGTCCAACAGGGCTAATATTTTTGTGTGTGCCAAAGAATATGTTTTCTCTGAAGAATACATTTTTTTTCAAATCAATTTTAAGCCATTTTCATTGCTACTCTGTGAACTTTTGTTAGAACCCTCATATTGAATTGAATCAACCCATATCTCCTCCTTGATTCATTGGTACAAATCAACCTGATTGCAAACTCACTTGTAAACAAACTTAAAATCACAACAACAATTCACCAAAACACTATCAATTATAGCTGCCAAAGGACACTCAAGAAGTATCCTCAAGTCCCAACTCATTGTGAACCTTACATTGAGATTTAGAATACACCTCAATTACATACATATAACAGCCTCCCATCATACATGCTTCATGAATTACATACAGTATTGTTGGCCAGAAACGGACTGATTGCCCTGCCTTGTTATTTCTTACCATTTATTTCCACTGGCCTATGATGGTTAAATTCTTTATGTTGGGTCAAACCATGTTATTCCAGCCACCCATAATTCAAGGCTGAGAATATCATGGATCAATCGCAATTTCTTCTGATTCCTATTTTCCTCCTGGAAAGTGATGATTTTTTCTGGGCTTGCACATAAATACTTGACCAATGTTGTCTAGATTGTAAGGGTCAAGACCATATATCCCAGAAGTATAGTAATGTATGTCATGTTATCACCAAAGTGACCTGGAAGATATACATGACGAGCATCTTATTCTCTAGCTTATACTGTAGTCGGAAGTATAAGTCCCATTATAGTTTTCTGCAGCAAATTTTGCAAGATGCTATGTATGTCATGTTATCACCAAAGTGACCCGGAAGATATACATGACGAGCATCTTATTCTCCAGCTTATACTGTAGTCGGAAGTATAAGTCCCATTATAGTTTTCTGCAGCAAATTTTGCAAGATGCGGTTTAAGATACAGCGGTTGCTATAAAGCTTTTCTTTATTCGCATTCAATACAAAAACAAACAAACAAATCATCTTTGGCTTGACAATGAAGCTTTCAACCTTGATTTCGATATGAGTGGAAGAGCTGGGCTAGTAATAAATGCAAGATGGATATTCTCCGGCTTAGGATGAGAAATCGGCATCATAAAATGAGAGGCGAACTGCCGTGTGGGAATTTCGAGGTGCTGATGGTAATAGCGGAACCTGCGCGGTTCATCTTTGAAATGTTTCCGAAATTAAATTAAAAAAAAGAAAGCACTTCAATGGAAATAATGTCACACAAAAATTGTGGAAAACCGACAATCCTCGGTGTCGATCAATTGGCCCACTGACAGCACTTTCGTGTGTTCGTAAGTTCGAAGCCTTACCGTTTCGCAGTTAGAGAGTAACAGCAGCAGCAGCTTCAGCACCGTTGAATCCAAGGTGTACGAGAGCCAGAAGTTCAGGCACGCGGCTCAGGAAGGTGCAACGCCTCTTAGAACACCATCTGCGTTTTCTTGATCCATAAATTCTCCGGAGTAGCGACAATTTCTCTTATTGGCATGGTCCAACGAATCTAGCTCTTCCGGATACTGCACCAGAGACAACACAGACATGGCGCGCGTTTTGCTCACCTTCCGCTGCTTCATCTTAGACACGATATCTTCCCATTGCTTGGAGATCTCTTGCGAAGATCACCGCATACCTTCTTGAGTGATGAGCTGCGACTGGCGCCAGTTGAGTTCCTGCGATGCCTGATGGTTATTAGTGTTTTTGCCTCTGCTGGTACCTGACGCTGGTGCCGCAGACAATGATCGCGATGAGGAACCCGAGAAGTTCTTCATGGTTGTTTCTATGACCTCGTGTAGTTTCATTGACTGGGCTTCTAAACGCTTGCGATCTTCTTGTGCTCTGCGGCGAAAGTCTTCAAATGCGTTCTGCAGGTTCGCCGACTGCGTGCTCAGGTCGGACGGACTCAACATGGATACTGGTCTTTCCTTTGAGCCACGAGCCCAGACACCGAACGCACACTACCACGACCACCACAACACCCTAAGCAAACTCTCTAAGTAGCACCTTTACCGGGATGACGCCTAGCCTCTACAAGAAAGACGGCAAAAGCCCACGCTCTCTGGTGAATTCTTGTGTCCTTCGTCTGATGATGACGAACAATAAGCGCCAAAGCCTACGTAACCAGGCAGTAACAACACACCAAGAACTAGGCCAAATCACTAGCAATGAGGTCGTAGTAATACTAGTACTTCCCAGCTCACACAACTCAATAATAGGCAAAACAAACTGTGCCTGAGTTGCAAGTTTGTTTCGAGTGGTGGATGCGTTGTTTGTCCATTGTTGCGTATCGTTTCCAACTCAGTGGCAATCTCAACTTCATCATCATTATCGTGATGCGGTGAGAACGAGGTTGTCTCTTCTCTTGTTGGATCCTGCCTGGGTAGCGGGTTTGTTTCCGGTTCTTCACCCGACACGGATGTCGAAGATGCCTCGTTTGTCATCCAGCAACAACAACGGATTCTACCTACCGATTCTGCAACACAACTTTCACGAGCATTTCCATAAAGAATATCGTGCTCTTGTCGTCGAAGTTGCCTCCTGGTTCTTGGCGTGCTGACGCCAATATTAGAGCCTGCGCATTCATAAATACGAGAATACTAATCAATCAACTCTAGAATGTCTTGCGGAAACGCATTCGACTCACCTTCACCAATTCCTGGAGTGACTCAATGCGTAGGAATTTCGACTCAGTAATGAGTTGTTCTGGGTAACATTCTTTCACACAGTTCTTCGCAGCTTTGAGCATTTGCTCTTCTTCTGGCGTCGGCCCCTTTGTACTAGCGGCATCTGGAACATAATTTGTTTCAAAATATTTCACGAGGCGAATTAAAAAGGTTCTCTTTGCTTTAAACGTGAATCTGCAGAGACCTTCCCGAATTAATTGCACAAATTGATTCACTCATTGTCACACCTAAAAAATGAAAAAAAAATGTATTTCTAAGTTTAAAAATGGGCATAGTCCTGACAAAATTAGTGTCTGATGCACGAGAGACAGTGTGAAAAAAAGAGAGAAAACTCTTGACACCATGCTTCAAAAAACACAACTATTTCAATGGGGCAAACTCAAGCAAATACGAGTGGTCTAACAAACGGCATTTGATTGAGCCAAAAAACAATGATTATTCAGAAGAGAAACATATCGCTGGAATTTTTTTTTTGCAAGTCACCATGGCAGCTTTGTCTGCTTTGCGAAAGAGACTATCTTGGTGTCAATTATGCAGATTTTTTTAATTTGTTTAGCCTACCGTCTCCTTCGGGATTCCTGAAATCGACATGAAATTAATGCTAAGGGTTGCCTCCAGGTATATCTAGACAAGTCCGCCATTTTAATCACCTGCCACCTTCACAGCCGCCACATTCTCATGCCAAGTGGCGGCGTGAAGGCGGCTGTCAATGAAAACGGCGGAAGTAATAATCAATCAATGGCGGCAACTCATGGGAATTAATGCCACGTCAATTTCAAGAATTCTGAAGGAAAAGCTGGGTAGGGTACACCAAAAAATCTGCGAGATGGGCACCAAATTTTTAAGGTTGAAGAGCAGAAAGCTGCTAGGGGGACTTTTGCAAATTTTTTCTGAAAAATCTGTCGATTCGGGCTGAATTTTTTTCTTCCGCTGACAAATGTTTTTTTCTGAACAATATTTTTTTTCATTCAGCTGTTTTTTATTCAGTATGCGGTTTCAATTTCTATTGCAAGGAAATTTGTTAGACCTATCTTAAGTTCTGTCTTTTAATGAAAAAACCCAGCATATCTCGATCATCAATCGTGTAATTTACGTAAAATAGAAAATAAAATCGTTTTCCTATGTCAGAAATTTTCATCTTATCTACCTCAGTTCATTTTGATAGACAAGGTTGTTGCCCTGAGGGGGTGAGGGATTTTCTCGCACCAGAGACGAGTCCCACCATCGAAAAATCCAAAATAAACATCCACTCGGATCCACGAAGTCCTCTCCTTCAATCGAACATTTTGGCAAAGCCTTCGCCTTGAACAGCTGCAAAATGCATTCCAGCAGGTTCTTCCATCCTTCGCGCAGAATATCTCCGTGTTTGTGGGCCAGCGCGAACACTGTTTGCAGGGCCAGATGCGCCTTGGCGTTTCCTCCAAAGGTGATCAGCGCAGCTTCCGGAGACTTAAAAAAGATGAACATTCCGTAAAATATCGTAACTACGAACTCACGAGGACTTCAGAAAAAATTGTGTTATGGAATACTGAATAAGTTATAAAAATATTTTCAAAATTAACAGCTGGAAAAATGTTCAGATCAGACCTGCTGATGCACTCAATCTTCCTTTTCTGGCATCCTCAGATTTTTTAGTATTGTTTGAAAAAATGAGTAATTTATTTAAAAAAAATTATTAGCTCCAATCATACATTCCTTCATTTGCACACAACTCTATATTCTGGGAGGTTAATGCAAAAATAGTTTTAATTTCGGAAGATTGATGCATAGAACCACTTGGAAGCATGTTCGTCATTGACTGTGCCTGCACTATTCAGAACATTTCAAACTGGAAAATCTTTCAAGCATTCCTCAAAAAAATGTGTTATACTTGAATTGGGAGGCTGGTTATAACGAGATTGTTTCAACATGTCCTCCTCCATGGGGTTTCTGCCCGGAACTGAGAAAATTTTCTTTATTCTGAAAGAAAATTATCACAAGATTTTACGCGATTAAAATTTGAAATTGGATTGGAATCTTCCTATTCTCTGTAGGAATACAATCCAAATAATTCCTAACGCATTCACAGTATCGCATAATTCAAGCAGTCCGATTCTTGCAACAGTTAAACTTCAATTAGTCGAACCATCCCCAGTCGAATACACCCAACGTAAAATATTTTAAATTCCCTGTCTGATATGCCTCATTAACAATAATTTGAAAACCTCCCTAACGACTTGAACGCTTCCTCCCAGAACCTTCCTAACTGGAATTTTCTGGATGCCTTTCCGCTATTATTTTCTTACATCTGAAAATGAAAAGCAATATAAATGTGAACAATATGCTATGGAAGTAAAATGAAGATTAATTGGGCAAATGAACCCTTGCTTTCAAGTTCGGCATCCTATCAACTCATTTAAAAGCAATTCATTGCCCAAAATATCACCAATACAATTTCCTGTAAATTCTTTTTTTTTCAACTCGAATTTCTCTGCTGGTCTCTTGAAGTTCGATAAGGGGTTTCACTGTGTCAAAGATGACGTTTTCCCCGGAATGAAAGGGATTTGATTCATAAATCTACTCACTGATTAAATTCTTTTTTTTTCAACTCGAATTTCTCCGCTGGTCTCTTGAAGTTCGATAAGGGGTTTCACTGTGTCAAAGATGACGTTTTCCCCGGAATGAAAGGGATTTGATTCATAAATCTACTCACTGAATGGCGTGATACATTTTGGAAAGCATTTCTTTGTCAAAGTCCTTCCCTCCATTCACACCGGCCAAATTACGAGTGAAATCGTCGATTGTCATGGGTGTATTTTGGCGCCTCACGTTATGGTTGTGCTGGTCCACATTCAACATGATGGTCCCATAGGCTAGCGTGAACGCAGCGTCAGCGCTAGCAAACGGCATGTCGTTGCTATTCTACATAGGTAACAAAGGAAAAAATTCAGCATTCCCAAACACGTAGTAAAAATATTCACAAAACGCGTCACAATCGAACCTCCAAGTCGAACTTCAAGAGAACCAAAAAAAAAAAAAAATGCGGGTTACAGAAACATGTCTTTTTGTCGAGTAGGGAGAGAGAGATGAATTACAGGAGATTGTATTCCGTGATATTCTAGGCCTTAAACTGCTTGAACTTAGTCAACACGCCTACGAGTTTATCCTCCTTTATCAATAAACCGGGTTAAGAGGGAAGCGAAGAAAAGTCTTGTATAGCAACGTAAAAATAATGTCAGAGTTCTTATACTACTGGTTCTCCGCTCCAGAAAACCTGACTTGAGGAGGTTTGAGAACGAAAGCCATCGAGTTAGGGAGGGTTTCAATGAATTGTACCCAAGGGAATCCCGACCACGACTTGAACCAAATTCAACACAGGGAGGTTCGAGTTATTGAGGTCAAACTGTACAGTACTAACATGCCAGTGTTCGGCGAAATGCTCCAAAACCAGCGAAATCAACGGTGCTTCACCCGGCAAACGGAACGCTTCCAAGTACAAACGCAAAGCTTCGTCAACTCTCAGTCCTCGGAAATCAAATGATTTCACAAACGCCGAAAGTTCCGTCAAATTCTTCTTATTTGCTACATATTCGCCGATCATCCGTTTGTCCAACAGGGGATTGTCTCTGAGGAATGCTGCGACTTCACTGGGATCCAACGGCTTCGACAACAATCCATTCTCTTGCAGGAACTGGATGCCTTTTGCTGGCTTCGTGTTGAAATGTTCGCTTCCGACATTCAGCAGCTGATGAAAAAGTAATCAAGAATCAAAATAACTTTAGCTCGACAATTCTCTCCACTTCCATTCTCTTGCAGGAACTGGATGCCTTTTGCTGGCTTCGTGTTGAAATGTTCGCTTCCGACATTTAGCAGCTGATGAAAAAGTAATCAAGAATCAAAATAACTTTAGCTCGACAATTCTCTCCACTACAGATAATAATAATAATAATCATAGATGATAAGATTCAAAGATTCTAAGAATGGATACTTGTCGGAAAATACAGTTTCCCGATGAAACACTCCAAATTCACAAAATAATGCGTGAAACAAGTGAACGGACGCCATAGCTTCATGAATTGCGCCACAATTTAAGGCTCTAGTCATTTTAACACGGAATCAATTCCTGTTTTCAATAGTGAAGCCTTGATATCAAAATCCAATGCAAAGTAAGCGAGATCCGAGACCTTCAGCTCTGCAAGTAATTTACTACATTAAGAGAAAATACAGCACATCAGCCGAATTTTAGCTTCTCGAAGTTCGTAATTTTGCAATTAGCGACCAACGTAAAAGAGAAAAATCGTGATCAAGGCGTAATTCACTTGAGGGGAAGATTAGTGTATATACGCAATTTTTCGGATCCCTTCACTGAACAAACTTGAAAATCACCTCGCACTTCTAAGAAACCATGAAAGCACTCAAAACGCGAACCTTTTTCTTATGCTTGACCCGGTAGTCGCGAAGCACGCTGCCGTTGAGGCAGTGACTACCGTAAGCTGCTGCAAAGCGTATTTAGACTCCTCCTCTGAACCTGTCCTGACCACCACTTACTTATTTGCTTACGCAGAGTTGGCACATTTCATTCTTGCTGGTGCCTGCGGAACAGCAGAAAAGGTGATCACTTCCATAAAATTCAGGGAACGATTCGAGAGAAAACGCACTTGTCTCCTGGCTTCCCGGGGGATGGGCCACACGAAACTGACAATGATGCTCAATTGCCTCAATCACCGTCAAAAGGGCATCCAGCGACAACACGTGAGTCGTGTACATTCCACTCATTGGGAAAGCGTTCTATGGTCAACAAGAAAACTGCACGTGTCACCTGACTGGCATAAAATTTCAACTGAAATATTGTTTTCTAAATTTCAAGTAACAAACCTTTGACAACATTTTTGTCAAATCCTCAAACAAATTCGTGCAGAACACATCGCAGTCAAAGTTCAAGTAGAGTTCGGTAACGAGACCAGGAATGCGCCACATCCGCACAATAACATCTGCAAAAATTTCGTCATATACATACACGAGTCAAGTGCTGTGTAACAACTGAGACAATTCCACTTCATACCAAGTGCAAGCTCACGAAGCTCATAAGGTATCTTTTGCGACTCCGTGGAAACAACGTCCATCAATTTGACTAAAAACATCTCCAACTGAAGCTTCAAATGGGTTCTCAGTGCTTCGAAAAGGAGGAAACCAACTCGAATCACTGCGGCAAACATAGACACTCGATCCTTGCTGAGGAGCTGGGGACACAGAGAAAATTCGCGTGAAAATTGGTGAAAAGATTGAACAAATAGAAAAATTACCGCTATGATATGACGAGACAAATCATTCTTGACAATGGACAACAAAGACGGAAATGTCTCGATCGACTCGGACCCAATTTCCAAAGCAACAGCGATCATATTCAGTCCAGTGTGAATCATTACATCAGTGTGTGTTTTGTCCACCGGGTTGATGAGAGCCGAAAGAAAGCTCAGAAGCTCACGAACACTCGGTAAACCATAGGGTACCAGAAGTGTTTCATCGGCTGCAAACGCATGAGTACAAGACAAATCAGGTTATTGCCCAATATGAAAAAAACCCCACTGTTTGCCAACCATTGGTTTCTCCGTCGGAAGTAAATTTCACGCCTTGCTGATTTATAAACGTTTCCATAGAGCCAGGCGATTCCGTCGTCGGGGTTTCTGCCAGAACTGACAAAGCCGCACTTTCTGGGAATTCTGCGATGGTTTCCACTCGTGGAGATTCAGACATTCGTATTACATCTCCAGATACTGGCTGAGGAGTTGTTGACAGATGCTGAACTGCGTTGGGTGCATTTAGCACGGTAGGAGTGGTAGGATTGACATCATCAGGCTTGAAAACTCCCTCACCGCCATTCGGCGTAGTCAGAGTGAGGTCGGGTTTCCCTGCAGGCTTCGACACAGTTTTATCTTCGTTCGCCAAAAAGCCTTTTCTCTTTTTTCGTCTACCAGTGTCGATTGAGCCAGTCTTCATCTTCAGGGCCTGTGACCGTCACGAAAAAATCAGGAGTACTCGTGAAAAACAAGCACTCAAACGAAGGAAAAAACACACGGCTAAAAATCCTAAAATAACGCAGGACACAATGATTCACTGGTTAGAGTACACAACCTCTCATGATAATTCAGTCGTTTTCTCAGATACGAGTTATTTTGGAATTTACTTCGAAACACTCAGGCACCTCGTATGCTCAGGATAAAACTCCGGTGCTTCCCAAAAACTTTTAATTCAAATTTTACAGACAATTTTTGAAACTCATTTCCGCGTGATTATTCATGAGATGATACATTACGAATGAATATTTTAACAAGAGCTTACTGAAATTCAATCCATTAATTTCCGAAACACGCTTCAAAAAAGTAACAATATTTCAGAGCGATTAGTGGAACAATCCGTCATGTTCACTTTCCTCCGATGACCAGAACGTTATATGTCATATCATGCTAAACGAGTGGAACGGGGGTTGTGCTAATAGAAGTCTGTATGATCCTTCAGCGCGCTTGTTCTCGACGTGTTCCAGTTGATCTCACACGAGACGACTAAAGGCGTCTTCGAGACTTTCGGAGCAAACAAAGCATATACGAAAGCACGATTGCATGATTTCACAAACGCAAAGCAAACAATTTTCCGTAGGTTGTAGACGCTCATCGTCGCAAGAGTTGTGAACGTCTTAAAAGTATTCATGCTGAAGTAGTAAACGTCCTAGTCACGGTTGCTTAGACCGCACGCATTGTCGCAGCGCAATATGTTGAACGGCAGCAGAAGACGATGCTTCGTTCTTTGGATTGATCATGCCATACGACAAAAATTTGTTGACTGACGATAGCGCCAATCCCGTCACTGGCCCAGTAGTATCTTCGGAACGAATCACGTCAAGGAATGGGCCAAGAAACATGTTCGGATCCAATTCTTGTAAATTTTCTACGAAAACGAGGGATTCGCCGAGATCGTAGAACGATTTCAGAAGTCCTTCCTGGGCAGCATCCTGTAGATCACAAATGAAACCATTCATAAACGTACAAGCAATAATTGGCGTGGCGAGCAACACACCTGTTGAGTCTGTGATGACCACATTGGCGTCCGCCGCATTGCTGTCATTATTATTGTCATTTCCCCCTGAATTATATACACGCTGCTCGCGGGCGGCTCCATCGTAGAGGATGAAGTGCTTGACGCGAGCTAAGAGAAGGATCAATTTGTAAAATTCTTCAATTTCATTTTACTGGTAACTTCAAATATACTGTATCATAAGCACAAATGCATTATCACGAATAGTATCTTCGTGTATATAATCGGGATATACGAGGGTGGGTTCATATGTTTTGGAAACAGTCTTTCGCCATCATTGGAGGCGGACGAAATTTTTCCCTTTAATCCTTCATCAGTTTCTGATAATGTTTTGCCCATCCAGCAAGAGATGGAAACAAGAAAAAGACTTCACAGTAACAAACTTCACTTCAGCGGAGGACATAAACTGTGAGATATTTTCCTCCTTGTTTCATCTATAGCTGGATGGGCAAATAATCGTTAGACGCTGATCAAGGATTGAAGAACAAAACAAAATATTTCATCCGCCTCCGATGAGGGCAAAATATTGGTCCCAAGACTTAAGAACCAACCCTCGTACGCACAGAGGAATTGGGAACACGGTCTTCACTTCAACAGCATTATTCTGCTTCGATCTAACATCCTTCTAAGCTGGATTATCCTTTCCATTCACCATTTACTTTTACGGCTCAACTTCCACATCGGCGCTTTCTCAAGCATCACCCCGCGACATTCAAAATCGACCTCACTTCCTAAGACCGCTCAATAACGCGCCCCGCTCTAAAACCTCCAACACACCCGAAAACCAGCTGGAGCCCACTGGGAACCTTATCGGGCGCAGCCATGTTTCACTGCGACTGCCCTCTATCCATCAAATATTGTTCTACTTTTCCTCCTCCACAAAACTGACCTAACGAATTCCTCCAAAAGAACCATGATTCACCTCTGTTGGCTCTGTGTCATGAAAAATAATTCATGTGGACTCCACAAAAAATTCAAGGTACTGTACGAAAAAATCGTTGCAGGGACATTTTTATCATATCATAGAGAACCCATGTTACATGCTGGGGATGAGAGAATCTATGATGCCAAACAAAATTTATTGTACAGAGAAGTTTCTTGTATATAGATTGATCTATAGATTCTATAGACTATCTCGAGAGAGTCCACCTGCTCTATTCCATCAGCAAGCCTGGAACAGTTTGGCAGCAAGGATTGAATAAAAAAATTAATGCTTTCTACAAAAAAATTTGCCTTACAAACATTCCTTTTCTGTAACCTTTGGATTTTGTTGTAGACAGTATAGAGTCTATACTACTGGCTTCCAAAAATATATATGCATCCGAAAACTAATGATGAAGAGTGTTGTATGCTGTTGTCGCGGTTAATTTCCCAGTCTCGACACTTTTTCGACATTTCTGCTGGAAAAAATGTTCATGAATTCTCATACGTTGAAGAGAGAATACCTTATTCATTACCTATAGAGAAGAACCATCATTAAAAATATTCCCATTAAATTCTAATTAGGACAATTAGGTACCTAATGACATGCAGGAATTCCACTACATAATATACGGACAATGAAGGTCCAAGCACCAATTACGGTATACATCCACTTCTGGGGGTCTCACTGTGCATTTGAAAATCAAACGCATAGATATAATCTGGAAACGGTCAAAAAATGCCATGCAAATCAATGATGCATAACAATGTTGTACTGTACAGTGCTGTATAATAACCCAGTTAATTGCTCAGCTGCTGATTCAAACATCAGCACGTATCATTTGCTGTACACAGTACAGTAAATACATGTCGTTTACTATACGGCCACAAGATAAATGACCACTTTTAGGAGTACTTTTTAGGAGTTGGAGTTAAAGTCCTCCCTTCTTTTTTAATAGTCCAGTTGACACAAGTAAGAACCAAAAAAATTCATGTTCTTCGTGGAAAGAGGCGGATTGATGTGTGTGACTGTTTTTTTTTTTTTACTTTTATTACAGCTCTGTCGAACGCTTCGCAGTCGCTTGACTGCCATTTTCTTGGGGGGTGGAAAATTGCTGTTTGAAGTGCACTGAGCCGATTTGTGCAGGGGATGGTGCAATGCAGTTGATTCGTCGTTTTGTACGTCGTTTTGAAATTGTCCTAGCTTGAGGAGGACACGACACGTCAGTGTTGCCACCGGCTCCATATAATGTGAAAGCTTTGGAAACTCGACACTCAGTATCCCTCGCAAGCTCGACCAAAACCAAGTGGTGTGTCGGCGGTGAGTTATCGCAGTCCAGTATAGTGCTGTAAAATAAGAGACTGTGGATTCCCATCAGTCATCCTTCCTTGTGATCATCAGTATATGTAACTGCTGATGGAGTTTCTTGCATTCTTTTACAGTTAAGGCGGAGCTGCTCTCGTAAAGCAAACTAGTTCAACAAAAGGTGGCCAGGTTTTAGCCTCTTCCTCCTTTGCAGCAGTCGAAAAACTTTCCTGCGCACTATGAGGTATATATGTAGTCGTATATCTGTTGACGACTATACACAGTGGATTTGCGAGCTGTACCTTCCAAATAGCAGCAGGTGAGTTTGATCCATTTTTATATCTAAGACAATTGAATGAAGGTAAACCAGCAATGTATGTATGACTACGTCTGATCCACTGTCATTATAATAAATTAAGCATTCTAATAATTAGCTAATCTATTTCTGCTAGAGTAATGCAGGAATAAGGCAAAGAGTAAAGAGTTTGTTCCGCCTATAATCATTGTAGGGTGGAGGGTTCCTGGCCCCTGATGGGAATATTCAGGATTTCGGGGGGGCATTTCAGTTTGACCCAATAAAGGTCACTGCTGAAATGAACCCAGCAGGTTAGGAGGGCCTAAGTTGGGAACTTTTACTGCTGACTTGGTGGTTCGTTATTATGAAGTGACTTTTTTTTTCAAAAAATAAAAATCAGAACTTTCTCAATCGAGTAAATGTTTCTTGTTCATTTTTTTTAAGAAATACATTATTTTCAAAACCAGAATTCAATGTCCAAAATATCTTCCAATTGAGGTGCGTATATATGCGTCAAAAGTCAACTCCGTTTCAATCTTCTGCTGAGGAAGGGAAGTAAATTTTATTCAGAACATTTACCTTACACAGGTGTTTCCCCGGGGAGCAGTAAAAGCTGGACATTTTTCCTCTGGCGATTCATTGGCATGGGAGGACTTTTAATTTCCGGGGTGATGAGAATCCCCTTTATCTTGTTGCTGTTGCTGATTTCGGGAAGTAACGGTAAGCAGAACAACGCCTGCTTCCTTTTCTTCAACAGGGATTATCCTGAAATCCTCATGGTTTTTTTTTCCCCTTGGCATGACTCGTAATAAACCATAGGGTCTGCCACAAGAAATGACAAAACCAGTGGCGACATCAGCCGGGCCATCAGCAATCCAAAGGATGGCCAAGCTCAAAGGATTCTTGGGGCCAAAAGAATAAGAACACAGGAAGGGTTACCAACACTCTCGAATGGAAGGTTCCAATCTAGGTTGGAAGGTGGCGTTTTGGAGACGAACAGCAGCACCCTGGCACCTTACCTAGCAAAAATTAATGTACAGTTCAACAGTGGCGACGTTATTAATAACATACCTGGACTCCTAATTTCAAAGAGGTACAGAATATCTACAGCTTAAAAAAAAAATCTATCTCTGAAAAATGTCCCAGGAAGGGATACAATCTAAATCAAGCAAGGTTATAAGGAGTGAATATTTATTTGCATATTGCTGTGTTCGGCACATTTCTCTCGGTTTCCATGCATTGGTGGGCTGCTTGCCCACCGAAGGCTGATATTCACTGCAATCAAGGAGAACAGCCAAAAGTGCCATAATATTTTGCGCATGCAAAGAAAAATATTAAAAAAAAATGAACGGGCCATTCAATGCGTAGGTTCATATCGGAAAAACAACATGAATTTTGGAAATACATGTACAGCAGTACTATAGTGTCCATGAGCATCGAAAATCCTGGGGAAAAATAACTTTCAAACATATCATTATAAATTGTACAATCATTTATTTTGAATGATGCTTCTCTATTCCCCGAAGCACAAAGGAATTTAGAAATTGAAACATTTCATTTTCTATGACGTTCTATTCCAAAACAGACCACAAATTCGGCTCAAAATTCAAAAGTAAATTCAAATTATGCTAAAATCGAAATCCTCTTTCAGCTTTCAATTTCCACGCTTTGACTTTTTTCTTTGGAAAATCTCCAACCACTAAAAAATTTTGTAGTGTTGACTGTTGATTATGTTTTTTGAATCAAGGGGTTTACTCTAAAAATTCAGAGTTTTCCCATGTTTATAGTTATTTGAACGATTTTTTCGGAGGTCGTCACAGAAAATTGATGATTCGATTTTTTAAGACAAAGGAGAATGAGGAAAAGTTGAAAAGAGAAGAAAACAAGCTCAGCAATCAGTCAACGTTTCGCCTTCCCTTGTTTATAAAAAGTGCTGCTCTTCGAGCTTTAATTATATTTTGATTTTAAAACTTCAGACAACAGTAAAGATCTCTGAAATATGTTTAAAAGGCAAATTTCACAATTACCAGGTTAATCTTCCCAAATTTTGAGGTCTGCAAACTTCGTAATTTGAAAAGCAAATGACAAGTTTTTCTCACAGTCGGTGATGAAAACTGAAGGTACTTTGTGGCTTCAACAATTCTTTGTTAGGATTGCTTGATCAATTGTCATTATCAAGTAACAAATATGTGTAATTCTCAGCTCTAGAAAAACCTGCATTTTTCCTTTCATGTTCAAGAATGGGTTAACCAAGAACAATTAGCCATCAATAACCTTTAAGGAAACCTGTTTAAAAACCTTGGAGCTGACAAAGCTCATCCCAATGAGTAACGAAAGTGTAGAGGCCAAGGAACAAGGGGAGTCATGGTGATCATACTCCATAGCTGCCCCCAGTAACAAATAGATTTGTATTTCCCAGTTCTAGAAAAAATTTCTTTTTCTGTTCAGGTTCATGAAGGGGTTAACCGAGAATAATTAACCTTCAATGATCTCTTAGGACACCCTTAGGAGGTTCACATACCCTACATGTAATACTTTTTTCTGTAAAGACAGAGGTCATAAAATTGCATTACCCATGCATGTTTCTGCCGGTTTATGTTTTTGTGTGCATATAGTTTCCCTTCATCGAGGCACAAGCTGATTCTGGTTCTTATGCTACAGACATGTCCTATTTACCGTCGAGGCTCTCCTAGGAAGGAAATGGACCGGCCAAGGCAATGCATTCAAGGACATATATGCATTATATGGATTACTTGCTCCAGGCACAAAGGATGAGGAGGACATCGATGGCATTCCATCTTCCAACATCATTTATTACCCCAATTATAATTCGTCTGGAAAGGTGATTCCTGACGATGACTCGGTGAAACGGGAGGTAGCCATTGCGCAGCTGGCCTCAGATGCCAAAAAGACCCCTCTTCCTATTCAATGCACCCCTGGAGTTAGCATCGGGACTGAGGTTACAGCCTTTGATTGGGTTAAATCTGGCCGTGAGTGCTGCAGCCAAGTTTGCATACTCATGAAGACTCATACTCATCACTCATTCTCCATTAATCTTCATTACAGAGGGAGATAATAACTTGATTAGAGCACAGTACCTTCGTGTGCAGTGTCCCTCAGCTTTATTCAGCAAGGATTCCACAAACTGTTTCCAGCTGTCCAACAGAAGCGCCTTTGATGTGAATGACACGGTGAGTCATTTCTATAATTTTCAAGGTCTCCAGCTGTGTTCTGAGGAGACAGCTTCAAGTGTTTTACTGTAGCTAGGACTATCAAAATGCATTTTGAGACCCTGAGATACAGGGCCTATAATTGTTCCTTGGTCTTCGTCCTTACGGTGGATTCTTATTGCATGTAAAACCTTGTTTTCATTCCATAGACCTGAATGCAGGTGTATTCAATTGGTTGTCATTTTTTATCAAGAATTGAGAATAAGTAAAATTTGAGAATTTTCCCATCAACCTCAAGTTACAGAAAAAAATGCGCAGGGAAGAATCTCTGCTTTGGCATTAAAAAGGAGCTGAAAATTTTAAAACAAGAACAAGTCTTGCTCTATGTGCACGGATGACAGAAAGAAAACTGAAAAAAATCAGCATGTTTTTGATTATGAATTAGAGGAAAATTTATTAAGAGATGCATTTTCAATATTTGTGAACATAACTAGCTAAATTTATTGAATGTTGGATAAAACATTGAAGTAACATTTTTTGCTTTCTTTGGAAAATGTCAGCAATCTGTCTGTATGTCTTTAGCCTTAATTTGTCCAGACGGTGGGGGGAATTATTTTGAGTGTTAAGTGCTGTTGAAAAAACTCTTGGGAATACCCAAGGGATTGAAGCTTGCCTTCACGCCGGCCAGCGGTAGCAATCAGCAGTCAGTTTTTGTTTGAAGTACTTTTTTATTTCTGTAATCCAGTTTTTTCCTTGCCCATTCCAATACCACAGTCTCAAAAATAGGGAGTACATACGTTCTCCTCCCAAACCTTTTTCGTCTCTGACGTGTAAAATAAGTTCCAAAACCAAAATAGCCATTTTCCCTTGAAAACTGCGAACTAGGAAATTCCCCAAGTTATTTCCCACAAATAGAAATTTCTCCTAAATACGTTCATGTGTTTTCCCAGAAAAAAACAAGGCCAATGCGTAGAATCTTTTCCCAAGCCAAATAAGCTAACAATAGAAAACATCCCTTATAGCAGCAAATCTCTAAATGGCACTGCCGGAATTCAAATAGATGTCACCGATGACATATAAATAACCATTACCAGGAAAAAACCTAAATTGCCCAAATACGATATTTTTCTGAGCTTCAGAAAAATGCGGGAGAAAAAATTGAAGCATTTTTTTTGCCACAGTTAAGTGTCCCTTAGTTGGATTGTACATCTGTCTGCGTGTCTGCATGTCATGGCCTCACTACAGTACTACATCCACTTGCCTTGGTTCTGACATTGTAATGTATCATCAACCAAAACAAATTTGAAATTGTGCACTCTGAGAGGAATGATAGAGTATTTCTCCAGGCTGCACCATTAGAAAATTACAACTGAGCTGCTGCATTCAATGTGCTCATCCATGAATTTTTTTTTTACAACAATCTTCCAAAGGAATTTCAATGGCTTCTATTGTTCTTGAAATAAGATGAAGTTATCTTGGATCACCAGTCGTTCTCAATTATGGACAAGCGAATGCCACAGCTGTGGCAATCAAAGCTTACACTTTCAATGTGACTGCAACAGAAACGATGATGGCAGCTGCAAGCTTTAGTGACCCTGAGGTTTGGAGCTTTGTTTGTCAGTATGCGGAAAAATGCATTGGTAACTTCACAACCACCACATCAGTCCCATCCACCAGCACTCCACTCATCCCCACGACCACTCCTACTGGAGCCATGAAAACACCTCCAGGACCTGACTCGCAACCTCCTCCTCCGCCGGGAAAATGGGCCAAGTTTATGCAATTCCTTCGCGGCCTTTTTGCCTAATTTCTTCAATGATTTTCAGGACATCATGCAGAAATACATCAGTCCTATCCACCAGCACTCCACTCATCCCCACGACCACTCCTACTGGAGTTATCAAGAATACTACCAGCCAAAAAGTAATGAAAACACCTCCAGGACCTGACTCGCAACCTCCTCCTCCGCCGGGAAAATGGGCGAATTTTATGCAATTCATTCGCGGCCTTTTTGCCTAATTTCTTGAATGATTTTCAGGACATCATGCAAAAAGAAAGATGGCTTCTTGCAGGAGGAATGAGTCCTGGTGGGTTTTATGTGTCTCTCCTGCATCCAAGATATATTACAGTACTATATATTCAGAAAATATGTTGAATGGTTTGATGGCTCGGCACCTTTTGGCACATGACACATTTCAATCAATTCTCGAATTGTGAGGTATATTTCACTGTGATTGCATGCAAGTGTGGGGATAAATAAAAGCACAAGCTTGAAAAACAAATTCGGGGTTATCTCTTGATTTTATGTGTGTTTCTGTCAACACCTCCTGATGGATGAACAATGATAAATACAATTTTCTCATCACATTTCAACGCCCTTGATTTTACAAAATTACCAGATAATTAGTATTTATCATGACGATGGTAGGATATATTATGATCGCTGATTCTATGAAGAATTGAAATATTGTGCCCCAGAGCTTCACATATAAAGGCTTATCTGGTTCAGGATATATTCAGAATGTATGCTGTGCATTACCAATCTGCTCCTCCTTAATTTCCATTCATGCGGACGCATGATGTGAATTTTTTTCTGTTATAGTGCTGATCCTGTTTGTGTTCATTCTAAAATCACTGCATAAATTTCATGTACTCAATGAAAGTGAATAAGAAGATTTTTTGCCTTGTTAAGTTACTATGGGACCATTAAATAATGCACTTCGATTCTATTTTTACTAGTGAGCTGGTGACTCTATATAAAATTTATATTTTCTGAAATCTCAGCAGGTTTCCGTGTCATTTTTTAATGCAGAAAATGTCTTCATGGAAGCACTCTTATAGAAACAGCTGCACTTCAACAGTGAATAAAGGTCCGTGACGTAAGATATTTCAATGAACCCATTCAGTTTCCTAAGGAGGGGAAAAATTATTCAACATCATGAACTGAAATGTTTTAATTTTCAAAAAATGTCATAATATTCTTCCCTCTCCTGAATATAGAATCAAAACACAAAAAAAGCACTAAAACAATATCTTTAGTTTTATCTGAATTGCAGAGAAAAATGTAATCGAGAAGTTGTTGTTCTTATTATGAAAGATTTAATTTTCTATTGAGCGTCTGTGCTTTTGTATCTAGACTTTATGACTAGAGTTCCAAGAATCTAGATTCATCATCCTGGAAAGAATCACAGGCTTGAATTGTGAAAATTTTGACGGAATCCATCTTATGAAGCTACTGTATTTTTCTTTTTGGACGCATTATTTGTTGCGATAATTTTGCATGCAATGATTGAATGGGAATGGATGTTCTCTATGTAAACAGTGCTTCTGAGTCTCAATTGTGTGAATGTAGGAGCTGGTAATTTAGGTTGTTTTTTCAAAATTATAATTTGTGTCAAGTTCACACCATAAATTCAAGGCAAAAATTATTTTGAAAATCAGAAAGACTCTTTTATACAGAAGAGAGTTCATTGTGTTGTGTAGGTTCTGTAGCTTAAAGAAGTTCTGTTCAAACCTTTCAATTTTAAAAAAAAAGTCATCCAAAGCATGTGATGCAAACTTTCTGTCAAGAACCCTGACATATAGGTTTTTATGATATTTGTAAAATTGTTTCTATGTGATGCATACAAGATTTATGATTGGGTTGGTGAATTTTGACTGTTAAGAGCAAACTTATGATGATGAACACTCATTTCATCTGATGGACTTTTATGTTCTTCAGGTGAACTACATGCCCCTAAAAATAGCCCATATATCAAGGGATACCTTTAGAATTGTTGTATTGAAAGGGCGTGTTCACAGGTCTATTATCCAGGTTATATATTTGATACAGTATTACCAGCAGTACACTGGAAAGGAAATTATGATGCCATTCAAAAGTTTTCTTGTCACGAGCTTTCATCAAACATTGCAATGGAAATTATTTTCATCTTGGCGATCCAACTTCGACCCCGGTCATTTATTTTTTTTGGTTCTTTGCCTGTTCTTTTTGTGGCGAAAATAAAATCCTGAAAAACAACGAAAATTTTGTATTGCTGAGTTTTGATTCACTAACGCGTATTTCAAGTCTGGAAAGTCATGAGGCTCATGGGTTTGTAAGGGGGTCCCCGCGCAACGAAAGCCCGGGACACGAAAGCCCCGCGCGACAATAGTCCTGGCACGAAATCCCCGCCATACCCGCGCACAGCTGTAACAAAAGCCCAACCGGAACTTTTTTTCAGGACTGGTAGTCTTGGGTAGTCAGTTTGGTAGTCGCCGCTGGTTAAACTTCATTACTTTGCTACTGATTGAGGGAAGTACACGAGCTCTTGAAGAAAAACAATGATTAAAAAAATGAAACAAAACAAATAACAAAAGATTACAAAAAATTCAAAAAAAAAGAAAAAACGGGAAAAAGTTTTTATTTACAAAAAATCAAGAGTCTTTGAAATATTTTCCAAGAAATCTGAGCAGTCAATAAGTCGGCTTTGACAATCTTTGCATAATTGACGCAGTTTTTTTCTGGCGATCTCTCTCAAAAGTCGACACTTGCTTATGTGGAATGACACCATCTTTGTCAAATTTCTTCGGATTTGTACCAACTGATGCAGGGTCTTGTTTCAGGCAGCAAATTAGTAACCAAATGGTGGGGTTTTTCCATTTTTGGGACCATCAAGTCAAGTGCCCCGAAAAATTGCCCCAGTTGTTTTCACCAGACAAACCCCAACATTTCCACCACAGAAGTGGAACATTCATCAGGCTGTGCTCAATGATCTTGGCGCGACTAACAATTTCAGTGAAGCTTGGAATCGCTATGGTGGGATTTTTCCATTTTTGGGACCATCAAGTCAAGTGCCAAAAAAATTGTCCCAGTTGTTTTCACCAGACAAACTCCAACATTTCCGCCACAGAAGTGGAACATTCATCAGGCTGTGCTCAATGATCTTGGCGCGACTAACAATTTCAGTGAAGCTTGGAATCGCTATTCCAATGGCCTGGTTGGAAAGAAAAATCCCACCATTTGGTTACTAATTCGCTGCCAGAAACAAGACGCTGCATCAGTTCCTACAACGCTGAAGAAATTTGACGAAGATGGTGTCATTCCACATAAGCAAGTGTAAACTTTTGAGAGAGATCGCCAGAAAAAACTGCGTCAATTGTGCGAAGATTATCAAAGCCAACTTATTGAATGCTCGGATTTTTTGGAAAATATTTCAAAGACTTTTAATTTTTTGTAAATAAGAACTGTTCCCCGTTTTTTCTTTTTTTTGAATTTTATTGTAATCTTTTGTTATTTGTTTTGTTTCATTTTTTTAAATCATTGTTTTTCTTCAAGAGCTCGTGTACTTCCCTCAATCAGTAGCAAAGTAATGAAGTTTAACCAGCAGCTACTACCAAACACTACAAGTCCTGAAAAAAAGTTCGGGCGGGGCTTTCGTTACAGCTGTGCACCGGTATGGCGGGGATTTCGTGTCAGGGCTATTGTCGCGCGGGGCTTTCGTGTCCCGGGCTTTCGTCGCGCGGGGACCCCGTTACAAACCCATACAAGCACCAATTTCAGCCGAAAATATCTTACGGATTCCCTTCAGGTAAAAATCGTGCATTTGATACCAAAGAGGGCTAAACAGAATAATACCGTTACATTCTTTTTCTTTCTTCAAAAATTAATGCAACGAGTCATAAATTCAAAACTACAACTTGAAAGATGATCAAATGCATTTTTTTCTTCAATCGACGAACGAACCTCGATCAAGAGACGCTTTGTTCAGCACGAGAGCATCTTCAATATCGTAACCCGAGTAGGACATCACAGCAACAATGGCATTCTGACCCGCAGGCAGTTCTTCAAAATTGATCAACTCGATTGTTCGGGTTTTCACAATCGGCCGATGCGGGTAAACCAAACCGTACATGAGAGTGTCTATCCTGGATCTCATGTTCAATGCAATCGTACCTAAAATGATGAAACATATAATTTAAGAAGCTGAATAATATATTTTGCAACGTAGTGCGGATTTTCTTGGAACGACGAGTGCTTGATTCCTACGCCTTGATTAATTTCTCACAATTTCTAAATTTCTTTTAGTTTTGAAGTAGGCCATGTTACTTGATCAGGTCATCAGCAGGGATCTTTTTCTGCGCTAGGCAATTTTATATTTCTTCCCACACAGTTAGTACTTATTGAAGGATAAAAAATGACAAGACAGGAAATTATCTCTTCAGATGATTCCACCTAAAATTTTAAATCTTGAAGCATACTACGATAAAATCTTGTTACAAAAAAGCCACAAAAATCTCATCACAAGGATGCGTTGTTCACATTTTGAAGAACGATTCGTTATAAACAAAAATTACGTTAGAACAAAATTAACAATAACATGATGGCGATTGGAGAAGGACCGAAGAAACGAATTCGTTTTAAGCATAAATTAATTATAACGAGTTTTGTTTTAACCAAAAATGCCATGAAGTTGCTCTTCTTACACCGAAACTGCTGTGTTGAGCAGGGACTAAAAAATGACTTCGCTGTAAGCTATTATTCGTTACTTCAACATTCGTTGTATGAAATTCTACTGTACTCGGACATTGCGCGAGTTTCGAAAATTTCAGATGACAAATTGACTGCGCGTAGAAATTAGACACCCCCAAAGTTTCTAAATACAGTACGAATTTCTTGCTCGAATTTCAATAAAACAAACCCATGGCTTGCTTTCCCATGGCGCATTGGTAAGTGTTCCTCGGGCTTTGGTTATGATGGGGATATGGAACAAGTCCCGCGCAAACTCCGAGCAGGGTGAACGGTTCGATCTCCAGGTGAGTCGTTTCCCGAGTGATTTCATCTTCGTACGTCGCTATCAACGAGTCGTTTTCTTCGTTTACGTCCAGAAACTCGATCAGACCATCGTTTACGAAATCCTTCGAACAAAATGGGAAACGCGATGACACTTCAATCTTGCGGATCCGAAGAAACAAAGGTTAGTGCAAAACTATCGTTTGAAATTCTCCTGTTCAGCGGGAGAAATATTACAATACTCCAAAAGGCTTAGATCCGCGGAATGCAAAAAGGAAAGTACTGTTTCGGGAACAAAGCGGATTAAAAAAGGGGCTCGCGAAATCCCTCAGCATTGAACACCAAGTGATTAGCAGGAAGACTTGAGGGAAAGGGTGTATAAAAGGGATAGATTTCACACGGAATGTCTCAGAAAGCATTCGTCACACGCGCAGTTCTCTTCCTTGTGGTGTTCTGCTGCGGAGCGGACAAGTGATGTGAACATTCTAATATCTGGAGAATCACATCCTTGTTCGTGCTGTAGCTATCACAAAATTGGCAACGAAGATCTGTACGCAAGATGAAATGCCCGCGAATGAATCCATCAGACGTGCCGCCAGAACGTTTCCCGGATTCATTCGAATATTTTGACCAGCTTTATTGATTGTGTTGTCGAAGAAAAAATTGCGGAGTTGAGGAGGTGCCCAACTATGTTACATGGTGAAATTTTGTCACAGGGTCTGGCATTCCTCAATATCCGCAATAATGCACGGATGAAATTCAACGGATTGTCACGATGAAGTTTGCTCCTAGCTGAATACCATTGGCTTCTCGTCAATCAATTGAGAAGACATAGGAATTCATCACTGAGCACTTCATTCAAAGAAATCTGAAGTTGAGATATTCGCTCGCCAAATGCCGTAGCCATTGCTTTCACTAATGCAAAAGCTATAGTATTTGGAATGCGAATTCCTCGACCACTTCGTTCGTCTGCTCACCTCGAAAGTCTTCAGTCCTCTCTCCAGTTTTTCGAGATCGGTATCTTGCAAGAAAGGTCTGCCATTTTCGACTATGATATACGGTCTGCACAATCGTCCACCATCCGTGCTTATGTAAATTGACTTGTGTTTGTGAAAAGGGTAGATGGAAACGTATCCATCAACCAAACCCCTTCGTCTAACTAGCCGGAAGTTCCTCAAGAGTCGACCAGGGTCCGATATAACACCTGTAAGATTTATACAATAATTCATAATGATACAGCATCGCCAACTGATCAGAGAATTTGTTCCATTCGAAAATATTGTGAAATTCACGTTTTATGTAACGTTAATGATATGAACGTCACGAAAAGTTGAAGTTTGCAATTCTCAGCGTGTCGACCGTTTGTTACAATATAATTTCAAGAAATCCAGTATGGGTGCATGTCATTTAAACCGATGAGCGAATTCATTACCGATTATATTTCCATTAACGAAAACGAGGTATGATTTCGGGTACGAAAATTCTTCTCCACTCAGCAGGTTTACGTCTTCTACTCCAATGTTGAGCACGAGGCGAATGATTGGACCATCGTCCACTTCAGTCGTAATATGCGTTAGTAACGCAAGATTCTTCACCAACCCACACGCCTATTGAAAATACACATCTTCGTTGAAAAATTATCTACGGAAAATGCAGTGAGTTTCGTTTCACCTCTCCTTCCGGCGTATCTGATGGACAAAGCATGCCCCACTGAGATGGCTGCAGTGAACGTGGACCAGAAACTTTTCGAGATTTTTCGAACTGAGAATTCACTCTCGTCATCATTCCAAGAGCAGAGATGTAGGACAATCTTGAAAGAACTTGTGTCACACCGTGCCTCTCCATTTTAAAGCGTTTGATTATCCAATTACCCTGCAAGGATATCTCTATCTTTAGACGGATGAGCTACTTTCATTAATTCCGAACCCGATGTAAGGGACATGGCATAAACGCATATCGTATCGGCCCTCAAAAAAGGGACTCTGGAATTGGATAATTGATTCTGAATTTCCACAAAACTATAGATAGGTGCTTCACGAGAAAATTGCACAATATCAAATTAATGAAGTATTGAGCTGCTTCACGCAATCTCTTATGAATTGAAAATTGATAAAATTTCGAGCTTTTTCGCATTTCTGATGCTGCGGTACATACGTTACTGTACTTCACATTTTTTCCGTATGGCAGAAGTATAAAGAAATAATTGGTTTCTCGATGCGAAGAAGTAGGCTATAAATAAAGTACCTTGTTCCAATTGATGCTATTAATCTTTCCCCGCAGTTTTTTAGTAAGAAAGCCAGTTCCACTCTACAGTCAGCTAAAAATGTTTACGGAGTACTTGCCGATGATAACGCCAGTTCGAATCCTTGGGAAATTACGTTTGGGCGGATGTACATCAATACATCGAATTGAGCTGCTTTGATCTTCGGAATATTTCTCTCCGCAGTTGCCTTCAGTTCAGTGTTCAATTTTTTGAAAAGATCCTCAAACATCAATGCCATCAAAGAGCCTCCCAATTCCATGCGTTTGTTTCCGTAGTAATCTCGGTCGTCTTTCCCCAGCATCGACTCGTCCAACGTGCACATTATCACTCTTCTGATCATGATCGCCATGTACATCGCTTTTTGACGACACACGAATTTACCTCCACTAACGAACATCCTCACTTCCGGACTATCTTCAAGAATGGTAGTGAGATCGCGGACATGAGGCAAGAAATTAGTGGACAAAAAATGTCGAGCTTCGTCAGCAGGCAACTTCGTCCTCTTTGTAGCTGCGAAGCTTGAGGGCAGTCCAGGGGAAACAAATCTCTTCAGTCGAACTTTCTTCCCGATATAGTTCAATGCTTGAGCTTGTGTGGTTATTCCAAGTCTGCGGCTTTCATCGACGGTTGGCATGAGAAGAGAAATAACTGCCTCTTCGGTCCCGATCATTTGAACGAATTCCTGGTCCGTTTCCATCCCGAGTGCCTTGAATACAACGCTTGCGGGAACATCGTCCGAAAGACCATTATGACGTACAAGGAGTTTTTTCTTTGCGTAAACAACCGCTGCCCTGGAACGCATGAGGTTCGACGATGACATCACGTGGCAGATGTAGGTTCCTTTCACTGGATCCTTATCGATGATGATCCTGTTCCACATCATTTGCTCCTATCATGCATATCAAAAGTTTCGTAAGCTAAACAGGGATACAAATTTCCACGAACATACCTGAATTAAAATAGCTTTTTCAGTACCCCGAACGATAAAATATCCGCCTGGATCATGAGGGCATTCGCTCATCGCTTCAAACTCTCCACGGGTAGACGCAGAAGATAGGACGCAGTTGGAACTCCTGAGCATTAATGGCATTCTACCGATAAGAACCCCTCTCCTCAAGACTCTGGCAGAGCCTTTCGTGTATTCTACATCTACCGTAATCGGAGCTGAATATGTCAGGTCGCGAAGGCGGCACTCATGTGGGGTTGTAGGGCGACTAATGTTGAAGCCTTCTTCAACATCTGGAGTTCCCACTTGGACGTCCAGATATTTCACATAGAAGGAGGGATCAACGTCTGATGTAATCAACTCATTTGCCTTGACGATCTTCTTGATTCCAACATTGATGAAATAATTGAAGGAATCGATGTGTTGTCGAACCAGTCCTTTGACTCTCAAGAATCCAGGAACCAGCTTCCATTTTTCCTGCTCAGCAATGGAACATATTTCAAAATAAGCATAATTAGATCGACCACTAGACGAACCTCTAATGATTTGATGGGCTTTTTCAGGGATTCCCCGTCATGTTCGTCAGGAAAAAGAAAGTGACCCGGAACCCTCGGTTCGTCGACTGCCACAAAAACCATTTCGTCATGAACTCACGCAGAAGAATCAGGCTGTAATTCTATCCTATTTCTTGTTCAATGGACATTTCTGGATTTTCTGGTCACCTTCCCGGCTTTCAGCCATTGCGCGCAGCCCTCTTCGTATCACAGAGCTAGATTACAGATTACAGAGCTCACCGGGAAGAATGATGTGTGAAGAAGGAATGTGTCATCTACGCTACGGATCCAACGATAAAATACATCATGCAGTACTGTACGACAGGAAACTGCCGTTTGAGTGATGACTCCACTCAGTACAACTAACTTTTTTTTCTACGACCCTTATTTGCGTACAGTACAGTATATGTCTTGATTGAAACCATTTTTCAATCCCGTTTTTTATTTACCGTTCCGCATTTTTCCGAAATTTATTTGGAATATTCAGTATTTCATGGTTGCTATGGGTAACAAAATTCCCCTTGAAAATTCTACGAAAGAAGGGAGAGTATATTTTCTTCACCATATAAAACAATAACTGTAAACGTCGATCATCTGAATTATATTCTTATATCGGTCCTTAAGCTTTAATGTAATCTTTCCATGTTCAACTTCAAGCTAAATCTCATCAGTCTAATTTTTAAATATTTTTTCATCAAGCATTTAATTTGACTTGGATGACTTTTCTCAATCAGATTTGGACTGATTGGTTTCTTCTCATTCTGATACTTTGTCATTCATGATTATAGAGATGCAGTCATTATTTGTAAAAAAAATGTACATATAAACATACATATGTATATATTCATTATATTGTATATACTGTACATACATATACTGTATATGGATGTCTTTCAAAACTTCTCAACAAGTTTTATACAGCATGTATCATGCACCATGCATTTCCAGCATTCTACAATAAATAACTTGTATCAATAAGTTCAATAAAAATTGGACCAAAATGTAATTGAAGACGGAATATTTTTTTACATTTTTTTTCTCCGCGTCAAATTGGACTGGTTTATTTCATGGAGGAATTTTCAGTACAAATTAATATTTCTTCAATAAGCAGTACCACTATATGTATATACAGTATATATAATTACCATTCTGTAAAATCTCCACACTGCACAATAGTAAGAAGAAAAGAGGTACAAGGAAAAACAATTGAACTAATTTTTTGAAAACATTTTTTCAATACTTTATTTATGTGTCCAGAAAATATAGGAGTATACAGCATCCATTCAGTATTCTACAGTATTATTATCATTAGCCGGTGTCCACAAAAAAAAAACAGTATGATCACAATAGTCACAACAAGTCCAGCATCAACATCCCAGGGAAAAATAGGTATATTTGACCTATAGTCCACATTTCTGCAAATGTACACATTGATCACAAATTCCTTGCCACATAATAACACATATATACCGTATATATCACGGTCTTCGCCAAATGCCCAACGGTTTGTTTGCAATTCCTGCCAATCACGTCGTGATCCTTCAAATTTTTCAAAACATTTTTCTATACACTTTTTGGTTTAAGACCCACATATATAATATATATATAGGTCCGTGTATATTCGCTGTTTGCGCGCAAAAATGTGTACGTAATCATCGTCAGTTCTTACAACAATTCCAACAGCTTTTAACTTTATATCGAGCAGGATCATTGATTTGATCCCTGGCGAAAGTCAGGAATATTTGCTCAAGCGTCGTCTCGCCAACACTGTAGTCCTCGAGAAACAAGGTCCACGTCTCTTTCGCCAACTCCATGGTTCTGAATATGAGGTCCCATTTCGTATCTGGATCGCTTATGTAATACTGTATCAGTCCCTGAAAAAGAAAACATATGAGCAATAAAATTCCGTTAATTTATATCGGACAACGTATTCTGTTTTTGAGTAGATCCAACGGAGATTCAACAATTCCGAATCTTTTTTTTTTGTTTACTCTCATGGCCTTATAATTTGGCAACACTGCAGTGCTGTTCAACCTACTCTCCGCCGATTTCAATGCATTTTTTCATGGGATAAATCCAATGATCGAAACAGCGCCAAAACAGTGAGCACGATTTTTGGCACTGTTTTGAGCGTGAGATTTATTGCATGAAAAATGCATTGAAATCGGCGGAGAGAATGTTGAACCTTATATACTGAAGCATAGCCAAATAATGGGGCTACAAAAGCAATAGCCAAAAATAAACTCCGTTGGATTTAATTCAAAAAGTCTCAAAACTTATGAACCAACTCTCGTATACAAGGTAAAATATAATCTTGCTGGGAAAAAAAATTAAATTTGAGTATATACACTGTACATCAGATTTCCACAAATGGGTTTCACTTCCATTTTTTTTTGCTTCAGGTCACAAGCAAAACTAGTTCTGAAAATATCTGGTCTTTTATTTACTTGCTTCCATTGTGAAGAGCACATTTTGTAATTGAATGATGATCCCTATTCCCAGTGCTGGTGGTACGTTACAATTTGACCATCCCACAATTTGACAATCAAATTTGCAGGGAGGTTGACTTGCAATTTGACCCTTACTCCGCAATTTGACCTGGTTTGGCCAATTTTTTGTGTTTTTGTACTGATATTTTTGAATTTCACAAAGTGTCTTGCAATTATTGATTGCTTCAAAATTTCACCCTAGTTTGGCAATGGAGTGCAGTGCTTTTTCTTAATACAGTACCCATTTCTACGCAAGTACTCAGCATGTGGCCTCTCATATAACACACGCACATTCTTTTTAATTTTTAAAATTCGGCAAAAAAATGTATCCCCTTGCATGAGACATGCACACCCGCCTGTTTTGAAGGGAAATGTTTACAATTAAATAAGTACAACAGCTGCAGTTATCAATTTTCACTCACACAAAAGAAAGATTTCCAATAGCTGCATTCATTTGTCTCTCTTCTACCATAAAATCCAACTTCAACAAGATTTGATAATGGAGCACACAATAATACAGGTGGACTCATTTACAAGGATTTTCTCTACAATGACTTCCCACAGGCATATAATTTTTTTAAAGCACATAATATAGGGCTATCTCCCCATGTAGTCATACAATGTTCTCTGCAACAACTTTTTTCCGGTCCCTTGAATTATTTGGAATTAGCAAGAGTCCAGCACCTGCTATATGCAATTTTCCAGGAAAACTTTGTATACATCACTGAGACACCATATGCGTACATAATTAGTGCATCAAGAGTGTCCCCAAGTTGAGTCTTGTTTTCCAATAGAGTTACATTATATAATTTTTAATTGGTGTTCTATGGAAGAAATATTCCTCAGAATTCCATGAAAAAAATTTCCCCTTGAATTTGATTCAGTGAATATCTTTTCAACTCAATAAGAACATTTGGAGCATTGAATAGTGTACATCTGTGCAGTACTGCACATTGAAATGATGTTGGCATCTGTAAAAGCAACATTCAAGTCACAAAGAGAGAATAAGGAAGTCCCTTTATTCTATAGGTATTTTTTGTAATTAGCTGAATGGATGGGAAAATTATGGGAGAAAATATCAAAGAATTTTTCTTGCATAGATCTCAGGGTTGGAAATATCTGCTTCTTGCAATTAGCCTAACAAAAGTCAAATTTCCTTAAATTTATTGGCATTTGTATCATGAAATGTCCTCACATTGAGTAAGTGTCTGTATGTCATATTCTTTATACCTTTTTTATTGAAAAAATAAAAGTCCCTTTGTTGAATTGTCTGCATGTTGAGGTGTCTGCATGTGGGGGTTTCACTGTACGTCTCAGTATAGCAGTAATGACATTTTCACACCATGTTTTAGTTCCAAAGTTTGGTAGGAAAGTTCTTGAGTGAATACAGTGATGTACAGTATTTTCAAAAAATTGTGCAGTGTTGACGACTGGAAGAGGAAGAAGTTGATTATACCTCGTGATGGTCCCTCAGAGAGCTGCTTCGAATTGATGTTTCGATGAATTCTTTCAATTTCTGGAATGATTCGCCGTCATCACCATACTTGGGATCCAGTTTAATGAGGATAGAATAGCCTTGGCAGAATTTCTGCTTCAAATACGACACTGGCCCCAGACATCTGAATCTTCCATTGACCATAATGCCGAGCCGATGACACAAGGCCTCACATTCTTCCATGCTGTGAAATAATGAATTTGAAGCATCATCATTATAACAAGTAAATAAAAGATATGCTATTCTATATTCATCAAGGTTTTAAAGTCGATTCAAATAGACATTTAAAGATGAGATCCATCATCAGCAGAGCTAGGAAAGAAGTAACCCATAGAACACTCTTCTTGCATTCCGATTTTGACAAATGAATTCTTCTGCTAAACAGCAGCAGACAGGGTTTAAAAAAAGAGAACATGAGAAGTAGACAGTATGTCACTATACATAAATAAGATATATCCTGTTGTTTCCATCACATGAGTTTATTCTTTTCCAATGTCAGCCTATATACATACCTTGTAGTTTGACAAACAAGACAATATGCTGTCACAAATTTGGCCAAATCTTTCTCACAAACTTTAAATGCTGGGTTGAAAGGACCCATTTAGCAGGAGACATCTGTACAATCTTGCATATATTTCTTTAAAAGAGATCAATTCATCAAGGTTTGCTTGTCACATTAAATTTACACTCTCACAGAGAACAGCAATATATAAAATTCATTCTGCCACCTATATCTTAAAGCCAAGTTTCAGCATCTGCCAAAACTCATCCTTGGATGCTCCTGTACAAATTATAGGTTTCACCCCAACTCCCACAAAAATCAGGAAAACTCATCTATACACCCAATAATCATAAAAATCCTGTAATTCAACCTAGGAAAACGATTGAAACAGAAACTCTGAATCTGAGTAAAATCTCCTCAGGAAAAGTTCTACATCCTAATTGGAAGGGATGTTCTCTGAAACCCTTTTTACACTTTGTGAAACCCAATTCAACTTCACTTTGTACTGAGATTTGGAGACAAACGGGACTTGCAAGAGAGTGTATTTGTTTCAAAAATTCCAAGGTATTGGCTTATTTGAACTCAGTTGAGAAAATACAAACAACTTTATATAAAAGGGTGCTCAATCACCCTGGTTGATGTAGCCCAACCAAACTAACATGTTTTATTTAACTTCCAACTTCCAAAACCCGTATTATTCCTGCCAACAACAGGGACAATAAATGAAGTCATCTGTCATTTCTCAACTACAGTTTTTGTCACTTTTAAAATTTAAAATTGGCAAGTCGATTCTGATGGAATCTGCAAGTATTAAAAGCCAGCTAAAAACAAAAACTGATCATCAGTTGTTCAATGTTTGAGCAGTTCTTTCGTTTTTAAATGAAGTGTTTTCACAAGTTCCAGAACACTTTTCAAAAATCTACTTCACATAAGTGAGTTGGAAAGTAATCACTCAAAAATTTTGAAAACATCTGAAAATGTGGAAAACATCTTGATTAAAACAATGTAAAAATGTCAACTTTTAATAAGCTGCATGGAAAAATTTTCATCACCTTGTGACATGAGTGGAGAAATGCTTCAAAAACTGGACTTTTTTCACTCATCATCATGCCAAAAATTGAATTTTTTTGAAAATTTAAAAAAAATTCCCAGAACCTCAGATTTTTAGAACATCATGGACTAAATCATACAATTTTACTTGGAGTGGTATCCACTCTAGAAATACCCAAGGCAACATTCATGTGGGACAATACCCTCGTATATGTGGCTTCCAGAATTATCAAGACTATCTTTTTTTTTAATGAAAGTATGTTGAACAATTTCCGACCTGTGGGATGTCAAAACAATTGACTGGCCATTATCGATCGCAGCACTCAAAGCCTTCCAAATCCGTCTCCTCGAAACGGGATCCACTCCCGACGTGGGCTCATCAAGGAATAAAACTGATGGATCCGCAGCCATGGCCATGGCAGTGCTCAGCTTTCGCTTGTTACCTCCACTGTAGTTCCCACAAGTCTTCGACCAAAAGTTTTGCAATCCTGTCACCAAAAAGAAAAAAAAAGCCAACATCATGACCATACAACTATTTCGCACATTTACGTTATTCAAATACTGTATATATACACCGCAACTCGTATCATCCACTTCTGGCCAATTCTAAGTTCAAAATAAACACATCCAGGTGGGATATCATCGCAAGTTTTCGAAAATTCTGCGGCCTGCTGGACATACACAGATGAATTCGTCGTCAATAGCAAAAATTCTGCATTCACAAAAAAGTTGAGATACAAAAGTGCTTCGAATGAATAAATCATCACCATGAGAACAATAAGCAGTATAAATAATATATATACCGTTCAATTTCCTGACAATCAAATGTTAAGGGTGATAAACACGAGTATGGGTAGACTTTATTCCTATTATTCTTTACATTTCGTATCAAATGCATGAGTATGTGTCACATATACAACAGCTATTATCCAGAGACGTAGCTGCGTTTAGGCCCATGTACAGGGTGGGCTGAAAAAAAAGTGAACCGATCTTTTGCTTGAGTAGATAGCTTAGTGGCAAATTTAGCTTTGGCAGAAAACATCAAATGAAGGCTTGTTCAACTCTCTTTGGATGCAGGGGATCACAAGAGCCATGAAGCTGGCACTCATCAGCAAGATTGGGATTTGGGAATGGAGCAACATCACACTGCTCCATTTTTGTTTCTTTAATTGTTCCAAACTCCTAAATTCTGGGAACTTTTGCACCCTCATGAAGGCAGCATGAAGTGTTCTTCTTAAACTAGTGGTCCTGCACCCAATTTATCCTTGAAAACAGCAGCTCTGGAGAATAGCAGATTACTGTAAGGAGTTGCCTGAGAACTTCTTTTTTGAGGAAGTTTTTATTCAAATGGTTCTTATTATAACCATCCCATATGGCACTTGGGACCATAAAACTACACACCATTTGAAAGATATACAGCTAGTGAGACCCCAAGATGCGGACATAATTTGTGCATCAAGAGTGTTCTGATGTTGGAATGTCAAGTCTCATTTTCCCTTGGACTTTAATGCTTACTTATTTAATTGGTTCTCCTTTTTGTAAAAAATTAGAAATAAGTCCTGAAATAAAAAAAAAATTGTTTCCCTCAACTTCAAGTTGTAGAAAACAACAGTGCATAACAAAATCACATAGAATATGATCTTCTGGTATCAAAAGAAGCTCAAAAAGCAAATAACAAGAATAAGTCTTGCTAGAATATGCACAGATGATAAAAAAACATTCTGAAAAAAAGAAGCACAAAATCAGCTGGTTTTTTTTATTATGAATTAGAGAAAATTTATCATGATTTTTTTTAAATTTTTGTGAATATAAATAGCTCGATTTGTTCAAAAGATATAAAAATAACGAAATAAAATGTTTGATTTTTTTGGGGAAATTTCAGAAAAGTGTCCCTATAATTTGAGCCAACGTCCGGATGTTGGGCATGACTTTTTTTGTTGTTTTCAAGTGTCTCTAAGTCGATTTTTCCACATTACGGAGTGTCCGCATTTCGGGGCCTCACTGCTGTATTTTGAATTTGATACAGTACCAAGTCTTTGTATGAGATGCTTGACGTGACCAGAAATCAAAGGCTCTCGCATTCCACGGAGTCTCGAATACAAGTACAGCATTTCGTCACCCGTCATCACATCGACAAGCGAATCAAATTGAGGACAATAGCCAGTTCGCTGCAAAAACTGAAAATAAATCGTCACAATTAATGAGAAAAGAAAATAACATAAATTTGAAATGCATAATGCTCACATCAGATCTTCGCGAGTCAAGATCATATCCCATCAGAAAAGCTTTTCCGGATGTTTTAGTTTCCGCACCGGTTAGCATGCGAAAAGTAGTGGTTTTTCCGGCTCCATTGACACCCAACAAGCCGAAGCATTCCCCGTGATGAACTCCCAGGGAAAGATCATCCACTGCGACCAATTCTTTGAAAACCTTTTTCAAGCTTCCAACTACAAGAGCATCTTCATCCAGTTTTTCTATAAATGAAAAAAATCGACAACGGAAATAAATTGCAATGAAAGTATGTACAGTATAAGGAACGAGAATTCAGGCATACTATAATTGTTCTCTCTGCATAAAAGCTGCATCATTACCTTTTTGTAAAACAAAATGTGAACAAATTAAATTTGAATGAATGAACAGAACACTTTATTTGCCGCTTTTAAGCGTTCACGAGGTTTAATCAAGATTCCCACAACCAAACCCCCTTCCCACCTTAATGGTATTAATTAGTGGTATTAATTAAATTTAATGCCACTCATTAAACAATCAAACTGCTGATTATATCATACATGATACACAACAACATAGTCTAACCAAGATAGCGTTCAACCAAATTAGAATTATCAGATCAACAAAACTCCATCATTTGATGTCCAATGCCATCATACAACAAATTATTGATAGAACAAAAAATCGTACAAAAATAAATAACCTAAAATGACACCCCATCCAGTATTATGAGAAATTATAAATAAGCTCCTTTATCATATATTGCTGGTGTTGACTATTCTGCAGGACAAAATAAAAATTTATTTGTTCCAGTTGAGGACATATAGTAAGCTTCATTCACTGTTTTCATTCCTGGACTTTTATTTTATTTTTACTTTTACTGTATTAATGTGTGCACAGTAACTTGCAAGTGAAGGTTTGTTTGGATGACTTTAAGACAGGTATTTAAAAATGTATGCTGGTCTGCAAAAAGTTTATGAAAATTTGCTGTTCCACATTCCCAAGAAGGTTGAGCAATGATTTAGCTTGCTTTTCATCTTTTGTTTGGAACTGTGTGTATGGAATTAGATATAACATGAGTTCAACATGTATATACTGTAGTATAAAGTATATGTTACTGTTTGGCCCATCCAGCATCAATTTTTACAGTAAAAAAGGAAAAATGACATCACATCACATACAACACCCACCTAAACCAATCTGGCATATAACACCTAAATAATATCCTATAAAATTATTAAACAGAACTGCTGCCATCAAAAAGCTCCTGAATAGCCTATTCCATCATTGGGGATTTTATACATAATCAAAATACATTGCTTAAAAGCCACTGCAAAAAAAAGGTCTTATTGCATGAATACAGTCCCATATACAGTACAGCTCAATAAATGACTAATACAATTTATCTTATTTTCATTGATTGAGACATAAATTAATGGAACAAGAAAATAAATAAACTCGAATATTCACTTTGATGAATGATGCTCCAAACTCTCTCATTCTCCTTGGCAACGTCTACATCAGTCGTCAGATTTTCTTCCACTTGTTGATACGGAGACGGGAAGATCCTCTTGAGGATCCCACTCTCCAGGATGAACAAGACCAGGTAAAACAACAACCCGGAGAAGAACAGCATGAGAATATCCACTCCAATCCCGGGTTCATCCCACGCCAAGAAATTGTCTGGCTGAAAACACGGCCCAAATACCACGCTTCCACATTGAGCTGAAACGAAAAACATTACAGTTTTTTGATTAATCTTAAAATCAATAAATTATATTCACAGCATGCTCTTATATACAGTATAAGTATATATATACCGCAACAGGACTTGACAGACTGTGGAATGCTAGCGGCAATTCCTGGATCACAAACGGCGTTTTTGACGGTTTCCGGAATGAAACTGCACTTGTTATTCGCATATGCTCGCTCAATCAGCAGAAAAACAGCATGGCAGAAGGGGAAAGGAGGGAAGAAACGGCAAATCCATTTCAGTACGACCGCACCCATGCGCAAATCGTCCGTTCCCGCTGATTGCAGCAGGGCAACAATGCAAGTTGAAATCGAACCTGGAAAAACAGGGATTTTATTAGCTAAGAAGGGAAAAAACACTCCCAATATTATTTTTTTTCGTCCCCCAAAAAATTAACTACAGCAGCTTATATTGCAAGTACCGCATTTATACTTGAGTACCAAGCTCAATTTTTTGAAAATAAAAGTCCATCCCGAAATATAAAAAGACGCGCACCCCCATTTTTAGTGAGTCTAAAACTGCAAATTTTCAACAACAAAAAGTCTCACCCAAATTTGGATTTAAACATGCTTTGATCCTGAATTCAACTAATTTTCAATTTGTTTTTTCCCATTCCAGAAAGTTTTTGGATTGAAATTGGTCCAAAATGTTCCATTATAGAATCAAATATAATGCAAACTAAATTTATAAAACTTTTAATAATTCATACGCGTAATATATATGATGCGCACCCCCTTTTTCTTTCTCAATTTTGAGAAAAATGGTTCACGTGGTACTTGAGTAAATATGGTATACGAGTCCATACGTGAATTCATAAAAGAAAAATAATATTTCTGGAATTTGATTAAAATGTGCTCGAAATTCTGTTCAGGAAAGACGCATCGCATTTCACGGAATTTTTCAAGAAGATCGGGTGCTTAAAAAATGCAAGTCAGCGAAAAGATTACAGGCATAGACTCTCTCTTCTGACTAAAACGAATTTCAAAGGGCCAGAAAAAAATTCCTTGTAGAGACGAGGCCCATCAATAAAATGGGGTGAGAACCAACCGAAAAAAAAGGTTCCTTATATATACAGTATAGAGAAAATCGTCAAAGATAACATCGTCGCAGAGAGTCCACCTGTAAATTCTGAAAAGCAGGAAATTTAATTTAGAGCCAAACTCACTCACATGTCAAAGAAAATAATTGCAGAAATTATTTATTCGACGTAACATTCCAGGAAAGAAATCAAACAGTTACACTTTCATCCACGTAACAATGCAAAGCTTAAATTTGAGGGTTTGTCCATGAAAATACCAAATAATTTTCTTGGAGAAATATACCACGACAAATACATGAACTCACCCAACAACAAGTTATCCATGATATGGATGGCAAATCCCGTTCCCGGGGTCTTGAACCAAAAAGAATGGAAATACGCAAACGGCATTGCGGCAAATCCATAGAACAATAGCAGAACAAACAAAGCACCTGTAAGTAAGATAATAATTAATCATGCATGCTGCACTGTAATTCAATACAGCAGTATAATATACAGTGAGACCCCCTGATGCGGACATAATTGGTGCATCAAGAGTGTCCCTAAGTTGAGTCTTGTTTTCCCTTAGACTTACATTATATAATTTTTAATTGGTATTTTATGGAAGAACATGAAGCAAATTGTTTGCCACTTGAATTTGACTCAGTGAATATATTTTCAACTCAATAAGAACATTTGGAGCATTCAATAGTGTATCTCTGTACTGTACATTGAAATGTTGGCATCTACAAAAATAACATTCAAGTCACAAAGAGAGAAGGAAGTCCCTCTATGAAGTCTATGCAAAAGGTAATTTTTTTAATTAGCTGCATGGATGGAAAAATAATGGGAAAATTTATAAAGAAGTTTTCTGGCATAAATCTTAGGGTTGGAAATACTGTACATGTTTCTTGCAATCAAGCCAAATAACATTAAATTTTCCTGAAATTTACTGGCAATTTCTTCATGCAATGTCCTCATGTCAAGTCAGTGTCTGTATGTTGGGCCTTTCTATGCCCTTTTTATTGAAAAATAAATGTCTGTTTGTCAAATTGTCCTCATGTTGAGGTGTCCGCATGTGGAGGTCTCACTGTACATTATTCTGGATGCATAATTGATAAATTGTCAAAATTCCGAAAAAAAATTTCAGAACCATAAATACATTCCAAAAATATCCCCACCTATTATAGTTTAAAATAACATTGATCTAGAAAACGATTCAAGAACTGAAGGATTTCAACGTGTCCAAATCAGGCCTATTCTCCACTCATATTTAGTCATAGACGAATTTTAAGCTAGAATTATAATTCTTTGAATGAATAAATAAATAAACGAATTGCACAAATTAGGACCTTACCAATAGCAGAGCTACCATTGGCGAGGAAAATCCCACTGGCATTAACAGCAGCAAACATGATCAGCATAATAATTATGGTGACGGTCATCACAGCAGTGTCACCAATCATGTGTCCAAGCCAATAAATCTCTGTTCTCATCTGCAAAAAATACACACACAACTTTATAAATACTGTACGTCTACGTATGTAATGTGTAAATTCTAAATTTTAGAAATTTGATCCATTAAAACTAAAAATTAACACCTCCCCATTGAAATTAACAAAAACAATTCACAGTTCCGTGGTTTTTTAAAAGAAAAAAGTAACCATCAAAAATTTTTGGATATTTAAAAGAAAAAAATTTGAACTCGAATCAAACAAACAAATAATTTCAAGTTTTTACTGTCGTTTCGAATTTTCCACACACTGGAATGAGTGGAAAACTTTCGGCTTAACGGGAAAATGTTTCCTTCTCATCACGAATTTAATGAAAACACATATTAAAATCTGAAAACAATTCAAGATGCATAAAACATCACGGGGATGATTATATAATTTTTTTCAAATGTTTACCATCAGCGTTAGAAATACAGAAATTTAATTTCGCGCGGAACCAGGACAACCCACGCGTATACTGCTGATGGAATATCAGCAATATACAGTACTTGAAGAATTTCAAACAATAACTCACGCCAGTCATGAGCTGCAGCTGCTTCGAGCCACTGGTTTGTTCTTCGATCGGAAAAACTACAAATGCACAAACGATCAAAAAGACACCAGTGGCCCAAACAAGACTATATATGAAGTCAGAGTCGATATTGGCATACAAAGACGGTCCCATGCTGGAGCTATTGGCCGACTGCTGCATCGCAAAGTTCTCCAAAACATTTTCCTAAATGAATGAAAAAACAAAAAATTTTCGATTTTGTTCGCTTTCGAAATCGGACAAATCGATCCGAAAGATACTCGTAAACTATATGCAATCTCGGTCAGGAAAAATAGCTGTCCTTTTTTCGGAATATCTTATTGCCACAATTCTGGAAAAATCATTTTTCTTATTGGAATAAAAAGATAACCCAGATTTTTAAATGACCACAAGGGTCCTATAGTTCCGCGTGGCGTTAAATATTTTCAGTTTTAGTAAATTTAAGAAATTCTATGAATTTTCCCCATACGTTTTATAGGACTTTTTCAGGTTTAAACTTTTTTTTTCTTCAAGAAACTGCATGATGATGAGAAAAGAAAAAATTCCCTTTACAATATTGGCAGAGTTTTTCACTCATTTCACACAGTGATGTGTCAAAAGGGTCAAAAAAAGGAAAATTTGATTTTTGTTTAAACTGCTGTAGATCATCTTTCGTACATTTTGTGATTTTTAAAAAGGTTTGCAGGATTATTTTTTCAGCAATAAATTTAAAACACAAAACGGTTCAAGTGCATGATGTTAATAATGTTCAATTTTCCCAATATTTTACTCCAGTCCTTTGCAAGGGCTAATTTTCTGTGCATAAATAATATTTTCCCAATAGCTTTTAGTTTTGTTTGAATTGTTAGAAAAAATGATGTATTTTTAAACCATGTTAAATTCTTATAATCCTGCGCAGAACTGGGACAACCCTCATAATCCTTTCTGCGGTTGCAACGAAAAATCAGTTGATGTATCAATGCGGATATAAAATTGTACACGGCGTTGGGGAAAGACAAGATCGATTATAATTCTTACCAATGAGGATTTTGGCAGTGGATGATTGAACACCTCGATGTCATTCTCAGAATTATTAGTAATAACCTTGAACAACGCATTGTTCATAGCATTCACCGCAATTCCAGCAGCGTGCAACGGGATCGTCTGATACATGCCCTTGGCAACAACAACACTCGCTGTCGCGTTGACTCCGTCATCTTTCATGAAATCGCCGGCAATCAAGTCCTCAATCCTGTACCTCACTGCATTCGCAGCTCCTCTCCCAAGCAGGTAATCAATCATGGATTCGTTGCTTGGCACCCGGAAATAAGATATCGGCTTCGGGGAATACGATTTGTCCCGGATTGATGAGGCATACATTTCCGACGCCCGAAATGCCAATTCCGACGAGTCACTGTCGACACGGACAAAGGCTGAGCTCGGGGCATATGGAGACAGTGTCATGGGCAATGAATAAGGATCCGAAGTGGAGCTGTTTGACGTTTTGTCGATAATGAGGGCTGCCAGGCAACACAGCAATGGCAACACGACCTGTATACATCAGGAAGAATCGCATTCCGAAATCTATATATTTCAAATTTTCGAAGAAGGTTTTTAGAAAATGTCACGAGATTATGTCCATGCTGCGTGGGTTAATATACAGTATAAGCATAGTTTGAAAAAAGTCGCATTCAGAGGTTGTGACAGATGCCGACATTTTCGAAGACTTTTATTCAATAAATGTATATGCGAACACGTCCCACTGTGACTGAATTTCAAACTATCCACAACAAAATTATATTTGTACTTTTTATTCCTGTATAAATCTTGAGACAGCACACAAAGATGTTTGTATAATCCGGATAATAAAGCAATTTATCATTATTTTCGCGAAAAATTGCTCAAAACCTCAACTCAACCGAATTAAATTATCCATTTTCGGTCAGTCAGTATACAGTATAGATCTCTTCTGGGAAATTGTTAATCACTGGCTGTATAAATAGAGACTGAATTGGAGAAAACGTGCTGGTGTTTATAATTGTTCAATTTACCGCAAGAGTCAACTTTTCAATTTTTTTTAGTTGTTTAATAGCGTCACCTTGTTTTAATTTTTGACTGTAGCAGTTCCCGATCGTCCGAAGTTTTATTTCGAAAATACGGGAAGAGCAGGTCTTCCCCGTCACATACTAGGTGTCACTCGTCTCAGCATCAACATTTTTAAACGGGTGTTTGAGTGATGCGTATGATGTATATGGCATATTATACTCTTGTAATTTTCTTCGAAATTTTCGACCGCCCGAAGATTACGTCAAAAATGCGAAAGAGTAAAACTAACCTGGGAAATTAATAAACTCCATTTCCTCGTAGAATACAGCATTTTTTTGGTCACGACTGCTCTCAATCGCTGTAGCGTCAGCGAAAAACCAGTGTTCTTAGAAGCATTCAGACCTTTCTTCGATGCCAAACCTATATGAACAAAAGCCCGGAGAATATTCTTTCAAAATTATCAAAACAACCATTTCGAAAATAAATAACTCACTCTCAATACTTTCAGTCTTGTTTCCGCGTTTCGCCATAACCTTCTTCTGCGTCTTCCAGTGCGCATCTTCCAGGTCTTCCATGTCCTCCAGAATTGGTTCATCGTCCGTGAAATTCACATATTCGGCTCCTTCCCCAACCCTGAAATAAAATCATCATGTGAATAAGTACGCAGCATAAGATGTATTACTGTACAGTAAACGTAAGCCTAAAAAAAAATAGAGCGCTCCAAACCGGAGAAAAACTTCTTCCATCGTCGTCGAAGTGATTGAGAAGCTGAGAATACCGAGTTCATCTCTCCGCGATTCCAGAGCATTCAAAAGCTTCGGATAAGCGGATCTTTCGTTGTTTGGCAGTTTAATCGCGAGTTCATTTTCCGACTCGGATTTCAATGTAGCCGACGGCATTTCGGAGCGAATGATTGACTTGACGGTGTCCCAGTCTTCTGATGTTTGCTTCAGCATATTCAGTGTCATGCCAGTACCTATATTTAAAAACACAAATAAAACACAACATTAAAAATGCAGTCGTATACAACGCCTAAAATAGAATCCGCGTTTTTTTTAAATTGCTTTCACAAAAAATGCGCAGAACTCGTCGTCATCGTCAATCATGACATGAAAAAGTCGTATTTTTTCAATTAAAAGTTAAAAGGGAAAATTAATCAGAATTGAAAAGTTCGCTGAATGGTAAGCGAAATCTCAAGTTCCACGACATTTTCGATAAAATGAGTGCTTTAGTTGATGGTTATTATATAGACGTTATTTTGGTGTTCTTCTGTTGCTATATAGAGCAAAATTTACATTCACCACTGCAGCAGAAAGTCTATAATACTGACTATACTGTATACAATTAACATTCTTCCCTTACGCAACAGAAACATTTTGATTTTTCGACGTGAACTCAAATTAATTGCATTCTCCGAACAAAGACCAGTCGAGGATACATAGGAGTCGAATAAAATTTCAGAAATTGACAAAAGTTATACAGTGAACGGTGCAGCGATGCAAGAAAAATAACCCAGGATATATGTTGCGGGCATATATTTTACTTTAAATTCCTTCTTGACAAATGGATCAATCATCGATTAAATTTCCCGTTACGGTACTTATTCTGTGCATGAAGTTTTTTCAAATGGACTCCAGCACACTTCGACGTTATTTACATTACTTATAATTGTTTCGGAACTAATTTGGGACTTCTTCGTTATATTTACATTATACTTCTATATAATGGTTAATTTGGGATCCTTTTCGGAATGAGAGTTATTTTGGTAAATACAGTACGTAGTCTGCAAAAGTGCTGTAGCTCATGTACCAAGTAGTAAACTGAATTTTACTATAAAAATTTTAATTTCACAAACCGTATTGATTCTTGAGAAACATCGGAGTTCCACTGCACTGCAGAGTGCCTTCCGCCATGATCGCAATTCTGTCTCCAAGCACGTCAGCTTCTTCCATGAAATGTGTTGTTAAAAGTATTGTTCTCTTTCCTTTTTGTTCCTGAAAAGTTTAAATAATCAAAGAAATAAATCATAAATTTCTCAGGCAATACAGGTGAAATTCCATTACGAAGCTTTTCCATAAGAAACGAAAATGGATCGTCATCACAAAAAATCCTTAACCAGTTTTAAGATTCCCTCAAGAAAGCATTTTTGAAGGAATTGGAAGTTCATCGTTTTCAACAACCAAGTTTTTCGACCAAATAAAAGCAGCTTTTGAGGCAATCCAAGTTTCCAAGAAGAATACATTTAAATTGTTACAGCAGAGGCAACAAAATTTATCCAGTGAAATTCAAATGTCATTCCATCATCAGAAGCAGCATCACATCCATTCATTGAATGAATTTATTTCTTTATTTAGATCATATATTTAAACAGTAAATTTTACCCATGAAAATTGGGAGAAACATTCAGAAATTCCTATATTCATCACACACAAAAAAACTCTGTAAATGTAAGTAAAAAATGTCATTACACTGAATCTGGAAAATTCGTCATAAAGGAATTTTGTCTGTACTTTTACAGTTTTGCATCAACGCTTCACAAGTTTTTAAAGGGCATTGAACTATTGAAGAAATCTCCGGAAACGAATAATCCGTCACTAGAATGCATTAAAATTGTTGCCTTAAAATTGTTAAGGGATTTTCGATTCCTCCCAATCTTTAAACTTTCGATTGTATAGAAGTCATATACAGTATAAGGAAAGAAAGATTTCAACCGAATTACCTGTAGATAATCCCACATGTTCCTTCTCGCTTCCGGGTCCATTCCAGAGGTGGGTTCGTCCAAAATGACAGTCTGCATAATAGAACGGACCCTACTGATGACCCAACTAGCAAAAATTGAAGCAAGAATCCGATGCACTTACTTCGCTTCCGCCAATCAAGGCAATAGCTAGCGAGAGTTTCCTCTTCTGTCCTCCAGACAAATTTGCAGACATGGCGTTCTGTTTCTCTGTCAAATTCAAGCGTTGCATCAGATCAACGCCTTCAGCACGTGCCGCAGACTTGCTCAATCCTTTCAGCTAGAAAACACCGTTTTGAATCTTTAGTCGCATCTCAATTAAACATGAGGTGGTAGCCAAAAGAGGCCAAAATAAGCAAATAACTTTTTTACTGACATTTTTATAAATTGTAGATTTAGCAGCAAATTTTGGAAATGTCTCTTTTGTCCCACATTTTTCATTGAGTGAATCAAAAAAGTACATACCCAGTGTATATATACAATAGAATCTGCACAAAAGCTAGCTGAAACACCACCTAAGTGGGGAGCTATTCTTTGTGTGACCTCACAAATTGCGCACACCGGGGTCACAATTGGTGTACATGGGCTATTCTGGGGTTACAAGCATGCACCTCTGTAGACAAAATTTTGCTACCATTCCTGGGCTACATTTGGTGCACAAGTGTGACATAACAGGAGTATCACACAAATGCGCCAACTGTAACCTTGGTGTAACTTATTTGTTTACAAATGTGACCCTGAGTAATCCTGGTGTGAACACACAATTGGTGCACATTAGGGATATGCATGCGCAACAGAAGAACTTTGGGACACTTCAGGAGCTCAGCAGGGGTCACTGTGTAGAATTACAAATATGTGCAACAGAAGAACTTTGGTACACTTCAGGTGCACAGCAGGGTCACTGTGTAGAATTACAAACATATCCCCAGTGTGCACCAATTTCCCCACTCAGGCAGTTAATGTACAGATGGGTACATCTCCATGATTTCCTGATTTGAGGATTAACTGATTGTTAGCTGCTTGATATTTACTTGAGTACTAACTCCTTGTCTTTGGGAGATGGATTTTCTTCCGGGAGTTGTCTCCTAACTTGAAAATAGCTACATGTTCACTTAGTTTTCGGCAGCTCCCAAGCATCCAACTCCCAAATTATTTGCTGGGGAGGTGCTGAAGATAGGAATCATAAAAGTATACAAAAGATTCAGAATATTTACAAAACATGCAACAGACCTTCAGAAATTTCTTGCATTTGATTCAATCGGAAAACCCACAAAATATTTCAATATTGTATATACTGTATTACATTATTATACTGTATATTTATATACACACTAACTATTGAAACCCTCTGGATTCTGTTTTCAACTGCTTATTATTCTTACCTGACCGAAAAGTAGAAGGTGTTCCATGACCTTGACTTCAGGAAAAAGCATGGAGTACTGAGGGCAAAGACCCAAGCGCTCTCTAATTTTTTGCATGTTTGTTCGGATGTCCAATCCCTCAATGAAAGCAGTTCCGGATGTAGGTGAAAACAAACCTTAAAAAAAAGTTAAAATGATTTTAAAATGTGAGAATACGTCGTTTCTAAAACTATACAAACACAGGGGTTCTTATTTCGAATCCCATGTTATATAACGGTTCTCAACAGCGAAATTCTCTCCACAACAAACTTGTTTCTGGTCTCTTATTGAGACACGAGAGTCCAAATATACAATATTAGTATAGCTTTATTGTTCGAACGTCAATAAAATTATTGGGAACGACCTTCAAATTATTCGCTATTTTCGACAGTAACAACAAAATAGCCAGCCCTGACATGAATGTTTCTCGCCAAAAATATTGATAACAGACAGACCGAACCTGTCAATATCGACATGGTCGTAGTTTTTCCTGCTCCATTGTGACCCAGCAAAGCCGTTATCTGCCCTTTGAATGCTTTGAGGTACAAGTGATTGACAGCAACGTGGCCTTTTTCGCGAGTCCCGAAGATTTTCATCAAGTCGACCACTTCAATACCCGACGACAAATGAGACGGTTCGTCCTCGAAGAATTTCCCTTGCCTCGCGGCTATCGACGCAGAAAGTCTTTGTTTCGCTGACGACACGTTCTCGCCGGTTTCTTGTCGATTCGGGAACCAATACGACAACTTCAGCAAAAAAATATACATACACTTAAAAAAAAATTCAAATATATATACGAAGTCTGCTGTATAATTTACCTTGATCGGGAAAAGTAATGGAGCACGAACTCCGTATTTCCCGGGATTCACCGTGTCCAAGTACAATGTGAGAGTCATATAAATGACCACATCGAATATCAGGATGAAATAGACACTCAACATGGTCATTCCATCCCATAAAAATGGAGCTGTGCTCAGATTGGTGAACTGCACTCCGTTTCCTTCAGAAAACGTTCGTAGAAATATTCAAAACACAGTCAGAAAATCAGGTAGTTAATCCACCATTAGACAGCAGGTGTACCCATAAAAATAAATGGAATAGAAAATCTAAAAAAAAAGCAAAGGCTTATGCAAAAAGAAACTAGCGCAAGAATGTAAGTTTACAAACGCAAAATGTACAATGCAAAAAAAGTGAGAAAAATAGAAAACGTGATAAGACAGAACACGGCTAAGCAAGAAAACAACTTAAAAAGAGCAAGTAACAACAGTACATGGATCAATAAAAAGCATCAATAAATGAGATGACCTCTATAATTTGAACCCGTGTTCCCCAACTTTTTTGGACTGGCAAATTTTCAAAGAAATTTCTGCAGACCAGCAAGGTTCATAAATTGTTGCAGACTCAAAAAATTTTTACTTGAAAGACTTCAATTCAAAAAGTTTCTGCTTTTGCAAAAATCAAGTCAAGAAAATCAATGAAGCAGCAATAGTGGAATGTCTTCAAAAAATCAGAAAGGTGGGCTTGAAGAAAGTGTCAAAAAATGGGGGTGCTTAGAAATGCAACTTTTTGGTATAACAAAGCATGCTCTAATCTTTCAGGAATCTTGTAAGGCCAAGTTTGACCACAAGTTCCCATGGTTATTCCAGTTTTTGATTCATCTGTCCTCCAGCAAGGACTCTCTTCTCGAAATTTGTGAAAGTCTGCAAGGACAAAATCTATTTTATTCTTCATCCAAAGACTTATCTTGGTCAGTTCTGACCACTGCTTTTTATCATCATTCAATCCCTGAACGTCAAGTTGTGCAGACCTTGCAAAAGTTGGTAAGCATACTTTGTGATTGCAAACTTCTGATTGGTTGTGTTTGATTACGAACTTGTACTGAAAAGATCTCGTGAAATAATCCTTGTCAAAACAATTTGAAAAAGAACAACATTATAATAAGGAATTGCCCTGGCTGCAGCCCAGCTGATCAAGTTTTACGTTTTTTTTAAATTTCAAATGACCAATATTTTGATTCACTCTCTCTTGTCCAGAAAGTATTTCTGACAGAAAGGTTTCTCAGAATGAAGAGTAAAATAATTCATTTCAGCAGGTGAACATTTGTCCAAAGTGTTATTATGGGAGAAAAGCCAACTTCTTATTTCATCAGATAATTTTAACTGCCATTGTCTTTCCAATATCATTTCAGATGAAGATAACAGGCATCATTGCTACTTTTGATATATTTATTTTGCTGAAGAAAATTTCCCAGACTGGCAAAAAAATTCTGCAGACCAGCACTAGTCTGCAGACCATGGGTTGGGGAACACTTGGTCTCTCGAAAATAATCGCATCTACAACAATTTTCTCTGTACTGCATAAATTTGTTGTGTCCCATAGGGTTCATTACCCGTGTAATAGGAATTTTTACAGCTAAATTTTCTCTACAACAAACTTTTTTCTGGTCCCTAGCATTTGGTTGTAGAGAGAGCCCACCTGAATACTAACCCAGATTTCTATAATTCATGTTTTTCTGTCGATTGCTCTGTTCATATCTTTTCTCTTATTGAACATGCTCCTCTATACAGGTGGTACCTTGCCATTTGACCTTCTGCAATTTGCTGGTCAAATTTGCAAGGAGGTTGACTTGCAATTTGACCTGTTTTTTTTTCATTTTTTTGCGTTTCTGTACTCATATTTTGAATTTGATGGAGAGTCTCGCACTTTGACCAATATGCAATTCAACCCGAGTTTGGCAATGGATTAGGGTCAAATTTGGAGGTACCACCTGTATAATACCGGTGAACACTATACTTGCTCTCCATCAAGTGCCTTACAAGACTTCAGCACTCCACGGTCTACACAGTATTTTTTTTGCAAAATAACATGGAAGAAATTTTTTACACCGAGCTAAATTTATTTCAAGGAGTAAATGTGTAAAAAAAATATTTAAACGTATTTACACAAACCTCTGCCTTCGAAAGCAAATGCTATTCGCACGCCGTAAACCATCGCCATGTTGGGCATTAAACAGAGACCAAATGCTGCACCTCTTCCAATTGTGCCACCACCTTCAGAACTCACATTCCAGAGNACAAACCTCTGCCTTCGAAAGCAAATGCTATTCGCACGCCGTAAACCATCGCCATGTTGGGCATTAAACAGAGACCAAATGCTGCACCTCTTCCAATTGTGCCACCACCTTCAGAACTCACATTCCAGAGATTCAGAGCAAACGTTGGAGCCATATAGGTCAGCAGCATCAGCAGAACACCAGCCGGTATCGTTTTGAGCACTTGATTCACAATCAGAACAAATGCGAAACATTTTTAGGCGCTTTCGGAAATTTTGAAAATAAAACAGAGCAACTCCTAAGTTGTATACTAATATCGGTTGAGGCTTTGAAGATGAAAAAACTTTGCTTTGAACACATTTGAATATGAATATTTGCGAAACATATTTGATTCAAGCAAGATTGCTTCCCAATATGAAAATCCCTTCTGAAATAATAAACCTCATTTTAAACCAATATGAGAGAATAAAATGTTATAAAACTAAATCAAGACTTTATTTCAGTCAGGTTTTAGTTACGCGCGTGAAGCTCGTCTTTCCTGAATGGTCAACAACTAACAGACTTGAAATGTTGCGAACAAGTCGTACCCATTGACAGTTGAATTACATCTATTGATCTATACATGACGAGAAACCCCACAAAAAGAAATAAACAATTTTACTCATACGCTCACTTCTTCTTTCAAATTAAAAAGATACATTTTATTGCAAAAACGCGCACATAAAATACTCACGTCTGTCGAAAAACGTTGTCACGAAGAAAGCGAATGCAATGAAAGCCAAGGTGTACAGAATGTAGAAGACAGCAATCAACAATGGATTGCTGTTTTTGTAAATGGCGCCGTCTTTGGACAAAGGAGCAACTGAGATGATGATGGCTATTGCCACAGGGATGATCAGAGATATAGAATTGCTCAGAAGCCAACTCGTCCAGTAGAGAAAGCGACTCATCCCCATCATCTTCATCAATTCCTAAAATAAAATAGAAGAGAACCCAACATTCTGCACCATGCAAAAAAATTCTCATGGGGACAGCAAAATGATGAAGAACAGAATCCCGATTCGTTCAAAAAATTAATAAGCATGCGAGGAATGTGAAAAAAAAACTATACCTTGACACCAGACTGCTTTTCTTTCACCACTCCCAAGTGAATAATGGGCACCAAGAACAGATACCCGAACACCGTGAACATGGGCAGCATGAGGCCAAACAAAAATGACAGAAAATCTTGTAGAGCTTCGGAGTACGCTGGGTATGGAAACCTCTGCAACTGAATCTGGGGGAATAAGATTCAAGAATTTCCATTTATCCAGTAGCAAAAAATATAGCAAAATCAAAGATGTTCCTACTTTGAAATCACCGTACAAATTTCCTCCTGCGATGAATCCCGATAACGACGCATTGGACGATGAAATTGACGAACATTTCCCAGTAGGATTTTTGCCGCACGTCCATCGCATAATACTCGCATCAATCAAGTGTTGGAAAGGTACAAATTTCGAGTTGTAGTCCGTATCTAAAAAATTCCGCGGGAAAAGAATAAAAAGCTTTTTGAAAATGTGAAAATAAATTAATCTAGGATGCTCTTAAAAAATACCGCAAAAAATACTCTTTCAGATTTTTCTCACGTGAATGATTTACAACTTACGCCTTTTTTGGTTTTCGCGGGAGTCATGAAAATGCTTTACACCAAAATATTGAATGATTTTCGAATAAATTTATTGATTTCTTATCGATGTGTCAACATATTGTGGCATCACGCAAGAACATGAGGGTGCTTTTTTTGGTTTTCGCGGGGAGTCATGAAAATGCTTTACACCAAAATATTGAATGATTTTCGAATAAATTTATTGATTTCTTATCGATGTGTCAACATATTGTGGCATCACGCAAGAACATGAGGGTGCTCTCATCACAGCACTCAAACGGCCGAGAAAATTGTAAAACGTCACAATAAATTCCAAACCTTAAACTCTATAATCAAAAAACCTAAAAAAATGGAAAATGAATTACTGTATAAATTTTCAAAATTGCTTCTGACACGACTAATCTCATATAATCTGCTTGGAAAGTTTCTTCATAACATGGAGAATTTACGAAGATTTCTTTTCAATGTGATCTGGTCATTTGAAGTTCAAAAAATACCGCAGTTTGTTTTACTGTGGACAGATTTTAGTAATTCAAAGGCTGAAACTAAATATATACACCTCTCACAATGTTATTATATTGTCATTCAGTAATGCTCTATGTCGTATGATTTGCATTCGATTGAAAATAAGTCCAATGAATAGCTTTATATAGTCAATCTAAAAAAGAAAGAAAAGTACTTTTTTCACTTCAAATTTTGCTCACAAAATTGAAAATTTTAAATGAACCCTGTTGTTGGGATGAAGATATTTGAAACACTTTTCAGAAAAATAAAATATACTGCAATCAGCAGGGCTGCAGCCGGGGTGCTTTACACCCTTGTGTAAGGTTGATTTATTTGGCAAAGAAAGGGGCAAGATTTCGCAATACAATCGATGAGGATGATTCTTTGACGTCTTTTGCGTGAGACTGCCAAAACACAACTGATATATTCAAAAATATGAAGTTTTCAAAACAAAAAAATCTCTCTCAGGGTCATACAAAAAACTCAACATTAGGCGAAAAAAAATGGGAACTTGAGGTCAAAGTGGGTCACATGAGATTCCTGGAGGATTATAGGCTTATCTTCAAAGAGAAGCCTAACTTCTTCATTCTTCTTAATTTCTATCTCAAATATTTCCAACACCTGTTTTCCGCCATGGAACACTTCCATCAATCAAAGGAACGTATCTTTGTAAAACCAACCTTGTTTCCGAGGTCCAGGGATTGTGACAGGAATGAACAAGAGATTCGTCGCGGGTCTGAAGCTTTTGATACGAATTTTGTAAGAGATTCTTCGGCCGGATTCAGATCCATTTTTATTGGCAAACGGATTGAACACAACGGCGCCTTTCAACAAAGCCAGTCCCTCGGTCAAAGAAAGCTCGTCAACTGCTGTCAGTAAAGCTCTTTCGTCCGGAAACCCCTTCAGCACCAACCCTGCGATAAAACACGAGAGATTTCACGGAAGCGAAGAATTTTATTCATGTTCGTCAAAAGACGGAAGCATGCAATAAATTTGAACTCAAAAGCTTGTACTATACACTCATCTTTACAATAAAATAAAATAAATACTGATATATCTTCAGTTTTTCTCCCTCGAAACGAACGGGATTCAGATTAAGAAATAAATTTTGAACTTTAACCAAGTGAGGATAATTTCGATGTTGCTTTTTCTATTCGATCGGTAGCAGTTCTAACAAACCTTCAGAGTCCACAAAGACAAATAAAAGGGGGAACAAATAAGATCTGAAAATGGGAATAATTTTACATCGACGAAACGAAGATGATGAATTGAAAAAAATATATCAAAATGTAAAGATCCCCCCCCCCCCCCACACACACACCTCAAAATTTTTTCCGCAGTCGAGAGAATTTCACGCGTTCAATGCTTTTAATTGATATTTAAAATCTAAAGAGTATCATACAATGCAAGATTATCCGATAAAATTTTAGCTTCAAATATTCAAGAGAAATTATCGAAAAATGAAAGATGTTGATCATCCCTCGATCATCGCAAAAGCCTCTTCCATTTCATTTTATTTTCAAAGCTCAGCACAATGAAAAATAAAAATTTAAACAAATAATTAACAATATAAAAAACGTTGACTTAAATAATGTAATAAAACATACGAGCTATTCAAAACATGAATAACGAACAAAAGTTTATAATTATGCAGAATGGCGCATTTTATTCCTACTGCAATTTTTTTCTGGCCATGAAAGGTAGTTTTATGCATTCAATGGCCGTGATTGAAAGAAAAATGTGCAGAATAGTCTGTTTAAGAACATACAGTATATGATTCGAAATGTACTGTTTATTAATACTTGCTTTTCAAATGTTCAAGTTTCATGCTGAGGAGAAAATACTTCATATCATAATAAGGTAAGGGACTACTACGTGGAGTTTTTTCCAATCGAGAGAGTGAACTACGGTTTAACTTAATCAGAATTAGATTCGAAATATTTTCCACAATTGAAACAATTGACCAAGAATGTACAACGTTATTTCATTTATTTTTTCTAAGTGATCGAACCACGAAGGATTTTTAAGTTTGAACGTTGATAACGTGAAAATCCTTCAAATGTTTCTCAATGGCAACGGAGATCGATGTAATTTGATCGCCGAAAAAGGGAATGGTTTAAAATACAGTACTTGCAACAATGCAAATAAATGACGAAAAATCGCAAAAGAATACTTTATATAGATATTACGGTATTCCATGTTCAACATTATTTCCCCTCTTTTTTACTTAAGCCACTCCAACAAATCCAACTTCCAAGTTGAAAATTCTAAACTAACCTGAAACTCCGAAAGAAGAAATATTTGAAGATTAAGTTCAACAACAACCAAAATTCGCTCACCGTTCGGAGAGCCAATCATGGAATAAAACCCGGCCATGATTTCCCTCACTTCCTGGGACCCGTTCGGAGCGAACATCACCGTGTACCGTTGCCCAAACATCGGGAACGAACCCCGTATGGGCCTCAAAAAAGGACCCAAGACCTGACTCTCCGTTTGCGGAGCAAAAATCGTCGCATTGTCGTCGAAAATCGTCGCAGAACCCGTCGACAACTGGATCTTCACGAACAGCAAAATCGCGAAAAACAGCGCCACTGCCAAGGTTTCGACAATGAACAACACTGGGTGTCGGAGACGAATGATCCAGTTCTTCCAAAGCAACAGCAACAGTTTCCGACCAAACATTATTCTCGGTTTTCGGTCGTCTCTCGAATGAAGGGAGTTACTTCCATCGTCCGAAAATATGGGGCTTATTTTTGGCATCGGAGGTAATTATCTTCCTGCAAACAAAACAAAAAGTCGACCAGCAAAAAAAACGACATTGATTTTAAAACACAGTAATGCCTCCTGAGAAACACGAGAGCTATCGCGTAAACAAATAGACGCAATTTTGATTAAATTACTTATATTGAGACCCCGATATACGGACATCCCGACATATGGACAATTCGACATAGGCACACTTGAAAACCAAAAAAATCAGGCCCAACATCTAGACAATTGGCTCAAATTATAGGGACAATTTTTTGAAATTTTCCCAAAAATTTGAAGATTTTATTTTTCAATTTTTATATCTTTTAAAGAAATCAAACTGCAGAATTTTTTCCACGAAAATTGAAAACATATTTCTGATAAATTCACTCTAATTCATAATCAAAAGCAAGCTGATTTTGTGTTTCTTTTTTCAGATTTTTTTTCCAATATAATCTGCACATATCCTAGCAACATCAGGACACTTATTGTGATGCAACAAATTGTGTCCACATCTTGGGGTAACACTGTGTCTTTCAAATAATGCTCAATGCACCAAAATTGTCATTCCTTTCATTAGTTTTATACAGTAAGACTTGAAAATCCCCAAAAAATAAGGTTCATTGGCTTACTGCTCAGCTCTTTAAGATTTTTTCATGAGCAAAAATGTTAAATACCTGAAATAATGAATCAAATTTGCAAGATAATCATGGTATTCTGAATTTTGGCACAATTTCTTTGCCAGAATGGCATAGAGGAAAAATGTGTCCCACTGCAGCAGATAAGCATCATCTTCCTCACCAAAATCCAAGTATTCAATTTCAGGAATTTATTGATAAGCAAATACAGTGAGACCCCAAGCTGCAGACATATAATTGGTGCATATCAAGAGTGTCCCTAAGTTGAAATGTCCCTAAGTCGAGTCTAGTTTTCCCATAGACTTCCATTTTATAATTTATAATCAGTGTTTTCTGGATGAAATATTCATCAGGATTCCATGAAAAAAATGTCTGCCAATTGAAATTGATTCAGTGAATATATTTCAAATGAATATAAGAGCATTTGGAGCATTGAATCCTACACCTCTGTATCATTCATTGAAATGTTGGCATCTGTAAAAATAAAATTCAAGTCACAAAGATAGAAGGAAGTCCCTCTAATATGCTTGAGGTAAATTTTTTTTATTGGCTTAATGGATGAGACAATTATGGGAAAGATAACAACAATTTTTTCTTTCAAATATCCTACTGTTGGAAATATTTACTTCTTAAAATTCAGCTTGATAAAATTCCCTTTTCCTGGAACTTATTTGGCAATTTTATCATGCAATGTCTTCATTTTGAGCCGGTGTCCGCATATGTTGGGCAATTTTTATTGGAAAATAAATTCCCCTAATATGTAGAGGTGTCCGCATGTGGGGATCATCTCACTGTAAATAAAACATATACAGGCAAAAACACTTAAATTTCAACGAATATCGTCAACACTGAATACGAGTCTTTACTACTCATACAGTCCTGCTGATGAAAAAACGCGTGATTTTAGCGGTAAACTTTCAAGCGAAATTCAAGTAACAATATTTCCGAGTCGGCCCAAAAATGGTAAGGTTTTATACAATATGGGACCCAGACTTGCATTACTGTCCATCGCTTTTCTACACAAAATCATCGTCACGTGGAACTTTGAAAAAACAAGCCAGTCGAATAAACGGTAACTCACAGCGAAGGACGAGACGCGACTGACTTTGAAAATTACATATACATGCTCACAAATCATTCTTCTGTCGGACAGTAAACCACAAACGACGCATGCGTCGATGAATGAACTCGTCCCTCTGTCCTGCAAAATGTCGACGAGGATCAATGCTCATAACAAATCACCGCACGTTTAAAGCAGGTTGAACACAAAATACGCAATCGGCCTTCTTGACTCATGATTGTCACGAATAATGTTAAATTTCATTCTTGGAAGAGAGACGAACACACAAAGCTCATCAACGAAGAAAAAAATTGAAAGATATCGGCTGATGGATCTGAGCAAAAATGTGCAATTCTTCGCATCAATTATTCATCTTAAAATAATTTAATGACTTTATATAATTAGTGCTGGTTTCAAATGTTTAAAAATAATTTCACAGCGCTTCTCATCGACATTCAAGTAACTTTGAAATGACAAAAATGAAATGCTCGAGACAGAAAAAAGCATACATTTTCTGCGAGTCCCCGTTTGAACAGCAGGATGATTTCGAAGAGAAGTTTTTGATTCTATTATTATGCATCAACATTTCATCGCAATAAAAAGTTGTGGAATGAAGTACAGTATATATTCAAATACTTGTTCTGGCATATAACCGGTAGTCGGCAGCAAGTTTTGGTTCAATTGTCTTTATTAGCAAAAGAGTAATATAAAAATACACTAACTGAGAAAAATCGGAAATTTCCATGAATTTCAGATTTCAAAATCTAAATTCATGATTCTTCACGATGAAAGGGAATACTGTATACTTTTTTTTTATTTTTCTCAGACCCCATTCAAGAAATTCTCCCGGGGCAACCTCTTACTCTCTATACAAAGCTCTCGTCGTCTACAACGATTTTCTGTGTATAAGAAATTTTTTCGGTCCCATGAGGATTTCTCCCAGTGATATTGGGATTCTCTACAACGAATTTTTCATGGTCAATTGAATTTCGCTGTTGTGATGCATCAGTAATGCTGTACTGCATTTAATTTCTGTCCTTCTAGTAGATTTGACGGTGTATAGAAGCTGACTTAATTTTCCAGTGCCCGTCATTTACGCATTAAAAATGAATCAAGTTATGAAAATTTCAGTTCGTCGGACTGCGGTTCGTTTACGATTCAACTTGAAATGGTTGGAGCAACAATTTTATGGAATAATTAACTATATATTCAATGAAGGTATATCACCAAGACGATATCACATGAAATTCCTAAATTACCAAAAACATCCAGCAGATCACGTTTCGAACACGACCAGAAACGGATTTCGGGCTCGAGAGAGAAAAGTACGGTAACCCTTGAACAAAATTTCTTCGCAATACAGTACTACTGCATAATTCATAGTTTTTCAAATGCAGGGAACAACAGTATTTCTTGAATAACGCATAAATATAATTTGCATTTCTCCTCATTTCGTTTTTCAAGTCCAAAAATGGGAAAAGCATGAAATCTAACCTTTCAGCAGGCACCATCATTAATTTTTTAAGCCTCCAGCGCTTTGCGTGCTTGTCCAGCACTCACGCGTTGGCAACGGTGTGTCTGCGTCACACGCCATGGACGACACACCTTTCCGACGGTTCAGCGACTTATTTGATGAACAAAGCCATCATCGATCTGGTCACGAGAACATTTACGGTAATTCGGTGTTGAAAATTCCCTCGTTTCTTTCGCCCACGCACCAAATCGACTGCCACGACGACCGCAAATTAAAATACGAGGGAAATGTACGTCGAACCTTCAAGATTAAGCATCTGTCGGACATTAACTGATGTATATGGATGCAATTGATACATCGTCTGACGAGGACAGAAACAATGCGCGAGTCACAGAAGATGAGCGCGTGATGAAAACGAAGGAACTTCTTTTGCAGACCCGTAAAAGTTCTGCACGCGTACGAGGCGAATCTAGGATTACACTTTCAGATAAAATATGTCATTGATTGCTAGTAAATGTCATCAATTACACAAGATAGGGCGAGACGCATTCCTGGAGAACGGGTCAAAGAAAATTTACTAAAAATACTACCTAGCATGCTTCAGTTATTCTGACACGTCGTTTTGAGACACAATCAATATTGTCCCGGCACCCGAGCAAAGAAAACCAGACCCATGCAGCAATGATCAGTCAGCCAGGCCACAAAAGTCCTCAGGTAACAATTTGCCTGCGACCTTCATGATAAATGCATGTCCATTCTGTGTGGCATGGCGGGAATGGGTTTCCACGTCAAGCTTCTTCGAAAATCATTACCGGGCACCGAAAATATATTTCATCAATCATTCGAACAGCCAACGTCGATCGACTCTCTTGGAAATTGCGGGGAGCAAAAATTCAATTAATAAATTGCTGGAGTTGAAGAATTCAGCATATGACGATGGGAAATTCAACAACAATATGATATATGAACACTTGGCGTCTTGGATAATCGACACTTGCGAGAAGCCTATACTTCCAATCCAAGGACCGATTTACGCATCAATATGATATTTTATGAACCTTCATACACGCGTATTCAAAATCCAGTAAATGATTTTAAATTTTGCGCATTTTCCCGCAGAGATTACGAATAGTTAAAACTTACATGGATTTCCTCGCGAATCACTGCATAAAATCGGGCCACGGTTTTTCCCCAAGTACTGATGTACAGTACCGTATTTACACCAATGATATACAGTAACTCGTGGGTAGCTTATATATACTTGTGGTTCTAAAAAGCACCTTTTTTAATATTGAGGTTATTATCCACTTATATTCGTGGGCGATTAAAGGGACGACAAGACTGGAAGGTCCGCCTTAGGTCTTATTGACTATAAATTTACATTTCTCCCATAAAAGGAAAAATGGCGTCAAAAAACCACCCTTTCGTTCTATCCCCTTCAGTCAATGACTCATGCATCTTGAAGACCTAAAAGCTGACCATTTCTTGATTATTTTCAACGTAAATTCCAAAATAACTTGAAAAAAAAGCTATCGATGGTTTTGTGGGGCGCATATACTGGAAGACTTCCTGATATAGACACGTATATTCACGCGAATATCATATAGAGCTCAGAAATCCACAGGTTTCTGAGCCATATGATATAAAACAAGGGTGCATACATTCGCAAAAATACGGTATATTGGATCTTCTGTCTCATTATTTCTCCGGTGGCACCGTGGTACAGACAATTATTTCAAGGGCTTTTTCAATAATTACACATACAGCACTATACTGTATTTTGAAAAGCCCTTTCGAGAAGGAAGGTAAAAAAAAGCTTAAATTCCCAGAAGGCGATTCAATTCGGATAACTCATCACTGTCTTCATAAAATTGAGGGAAGGGTTGTGCGATTTTCGGACGCGGATGAGTTCACGCTCAAAATATAATCTATCCATCAGCCCACCTCGATTCCACTGTTTTTGGACATGACAGCAAGAAACAGAACCTTTTCATTTTTTCGAAGTATGAAAACCACTTCAAACTACAACTGTGATATTAAATAGAGGCATTCGTCTCGAAGAAAATGGCGGATATATGAAGGAAGTTTTCGACCACATACAGTATGTTGTTCCGCCTCGAATATCATGTCTGAAACCGGGACTCACCCTCTGAAAAATACATCGGTCGCTTGTTGATCACCTGAAGCGTCCCTTCTATTGATTAAACATCGCGGAACACAATCATGTTGCTAGGTAACCCGGGTGCTGATCTTTCGCGGCGTTATTTCTTCCTAACAAAATCCCAATAGACAGTGCTGAATGCCATCGTCGACAAACAACCAGCGTCAGGGGACTCGAATCGGCGAAGCAACAGGTTTGGTACATATTCGAAAAAATATTTTCTCATTTCCTGATATCACACGAGTTCCAAAAGATCGTCCCCAGAATGATTTCTCATAACGGAAAACGGATTACAGTACCTCAACACGAAAAAACAGCAACTACATTTGATGAACCTTCAAAAAACTAACTGAAATTGTCGCTGAATTTGAGATGACGGCGACTTCAGCGCGACATTGCCGAAATAATAATGGTCAGGGTCGATCGGAGAGTGCATGTATTCAAAAAATTTCGCATTTTAAAAGAATCCATAGAAATGAAAAAAAAAAAATATTTGAAATATACGGAATACTTTCTTCAAGTTTTGAACCACCTGCTATAACTCCAACAAAATAATTTCAAAAATAACTTGAAAATCTGTACTAGAAGTAACAGAGTCCATCAATAAAACGCGTAATGCCAGTTTCACACGATGACGTAACCCTTTTTTCGAATTTCAGACCTCAATTTCAAGAAATTTATATCATATCATTCAAAAAAATTTCTTCACTTTCAAGCAGCTGTGGGTTTTATAATTTTTATATATGATAATGGAGGTTCCGATGAAAGTTGTACCCGGTTCCTTCCATTTTGATTCTTACGCATTTGGCATGCAGTTCAGCAAATAATTCGAACTTACCTTCATTGGCATAATGAATCTACTTAAAGAGATATTCATCCATTGAATAATTTCACCTTCTGCAATCATACAATAAATCAACAGTCTGCTTCCAAATCCTAAACAACATCGATTTCAAGACTCACCCCGATCCGATAAATGTATCACGAATAGCGTACAAAGTATATGATCACTGCTGAAAATGTCGACGGTCAACAATTTGAAAAGGAATAAAATGCATTGGTTTGACATACTTTATTGGATTTCCCAAATATTTCTATGACTAGCTTAAATAAATCCCCACTGTGCTCACTCTTCAATACCAATAAATAATGACAGAAACTGTGACTTCACTCAGGCACCACAACATAAAGCAACAACAAGGTACGGCTTTAACAACTCCGAATACAACCCAGATCACGAAAGTGAGCCTCGTCTTCCTTCTTTCTGGCAAGCAAAGTTTGCAAAAATCTAACGCATCCAAAAACGTTCGCACAATCTGAAAATTTTCTCAACCGACTTTTCTCACGAAAAGTGGCTCCAAAGGGAACAATTAAAAGATCGGGTGTAAGAACACATTTCCCTTCCCCAAAGTGGACCATCACATGCTCGCTTCCTTCAGCTGTTCCGAAGGGTTTCGGAGAAGGCTAAGGAATGTTTTCAAATTTTCTTTTGTTTTTCACAGAAGCAAGAGAAAGCAAAAAAAAAAATTGGGCATCTCAACTAACCAAACCACTCATATGGTCGGTTTCACTTTTCCAACCACGATGGCATCCCGGCGTTCGGGGATTGTAGTTTGATGTTGAATTGCTTCAACGTCGCTTCCAGGTTCGCCTGGTTTCCCGAGAAATACGCAGAGATGGCGTTGTGAAACAGCAGTAATTGTTTATGCATCACCTTCACCTGATGAATATACAGACTTACATAAGACGCGAGAATCACAGAAAAAGAAGATACAAACTTGATACAGTAATTGCAATTAATATTAAAAAGAGACAAATTCGTGATGAATACACTACTGTACATACAAAATTCAAAACGGGGGTTTAACCTCGCTCGAGACGCACGGATTGGGCTGAAATTAACTACCTGTACTGTATGATAAAGTCGAAAAAAAATTCACGATGAAAGCATCCGAAATAAAGAAGGCCTTAAGTAGTTAAGTTCAGTTAAAGTGACTCAACGCATTACTATCTTCTTACAACGAAAATTCCTTCTCTATAAGCAAAAGCATTATCGCAGAAAAATAACTTGCTCGGGTCCTTGTAGTTCAGCCACTATTTTTTATTGTCGATTCAATACATTTTAAATTTAAAATACTTCAAATTTTTCAGTTCCTAATTACTGTTGAAAAAAGATTCGACTGAGAAAGAAAGAAACATGGATACTACAACAATTTATTCCAGTGTGTTCTCGACACAATTTTTGTTTTGCAATCAACTAATGTTCAACGCTTTTCCCCGGCAACACAGTTAATTATTTGTTAATACAGTAATATATCCTCAGATACTTTGAAGAGAATTCGTCGGTATGGCATTTAAAAATTTTGAGAAATGTGAACAAGGCAAAAAAATCGAAATGATCTCGTCACATTAAAAAATGAACGAGTAAAATCTTCTCGTCGAATAAGAGAAATAATGTACGGAATTTTGAATAAATTTATAAAAAATGTTCATACTCGGTTCTCATGAAGAAACTTCAACTTCACGGATACGTTTCCCCTTAATTTCTCGTAACGATTGCGGTGGCTATCGTACATTTGCTGCGACTCCCTCATTTTCGCAGCACTGGCATCTGATTTAGGCTCTTGAGCGACTCTTTCCATGTCCGTCCTATAGGCATCGAACTCTACCCTAAAAAAATCGATGAATTAATAACATGATTCAAATTTTAAATAAACATGAAGATGGAATAAGCTCAATTACCTTGCGGTTTCGTAATCCCGGATAGTCATCAGCGTATCTTCTATAGTTTTGTTGCACAACGTGTTCAGTGACGATATGAAAAAATTAAGCGCTCCCAACAGAGTCTCTCCGTTTTTTGTCAAATTCCTCTGCGTATCGGCATTGTACAAAAATTCTTCTTGAAGTTCCGGACTTTTCTGGGCCAAATCCGCGAAAGCTTCTCCCAACACGTGCTGAGTCTGAACTACGCCCGAGAAATGTGAAGCCATGGCTTTTGCGAGTCGTAAAATATTCAGGTAACGTCTATGTGTGTCCCTCAGTTGATCTATTTGCGGTTCTAATTCTGTAACAGAAAATCAAGAGAATAAACACACTTCGCTAGATACAAAAAACGCGGTTCTTTTGACAATGCACGTGCTCTACATTAACAAAGATTTTCAGCTTTTGTGGTTTTAACAGCTTCAAGATTTCGTTCTGTTCACGTACCTTCTTTCATGGTTACAGTCGCGTGAATATTGTACAGTATTTACGCTAATGTAAGTACTGTACCATTGTTTCCCATTTTAGAAGTTCAAAAACCAGGGGTACGCTTACATCTGCACATTCTTGCAATTCGCGTAAATATGCGTCTCTATATACACATCAGGAAATCTTCCTGTTTACGGCCAAAAAACCCATCGAGCTCTTCTTTTCTTTAATTTTTTGTAGAATTCAAGATGGAAATAATCAAGAAATGGTCAGCTTTTTGCACTTCCCGATGCATGAGTCTTTGACTGAAGCGGAAGAGCCAGGACCCCTTTTTTCCTTTTCTAGGGAAATTCTAAATTTAGTCAGAAATTTTAGACTTTTGAAAAATCATAACACCAGGGAAGTAATTGGGTTTTTCGCCCATCGTTGGAATTTTAATTTGGTGCTTGAAAAATCCGAAGGGTTCTTATATTTGAGGTAATTTGGTACACCAAGAATTAAATGAATTTACATTTTACTTCAAAACGCTGAATTTTTTAAACATTGGAACCTTTGCCCAAACCAGGGCCTCAACTGATTCAAACCGAAGGCTATGAATAGTGGTCCATGTCCAACAGGCTAAACTCTGGTTTTTCTATAACAATTCACAGGTTGAAAAGCTCTGCACTATGAATGATGAAGGAAAATCACCTGAATCGACGGTTCGGGAAGTTTTGCCAAGTTTCTCCGACAAGATCTGCTTCGTGCACTTGAAGGTAGATATGCTCCATTTTTTTATGGCATCGATTTTGGAGTCTCCCGGACGAGTGACGACTGGTGACAGGTCTCCATTGAAGGGTGAAACGGGACTCCCCGCAAAAATAGGCGTTCTTGCTACATACGGGATGAAAAGAAGGATATGAAAATCGCGAGGTTTTGAAAAGGGACACATCAGAGAAAATACGGCAGGAATAAAACTTCATGCGAGGATTCTCTCTGTCTCTCTCAATTGAGGATAGGCCTGGAAATCCAACGAGTTCTACTGCACAGAACAGTTCTGGACATGAAGACATACAAAGCACCTCGTCATCTTTAATTTGGTACATGCTACATGCAGAATAAAAAACACTTCGAAATAAAAATACAATAAAAAAAAATAATAATTGTGCACGTTGATGCCCGCATTCTATCTGTCGTAAGGGTACCAAACTGCACAACCCATTCAAATTTGCTTCAATGATGAATAATTTGCACTTGCATACGAGTCAACTTCCGCGTTCTACATTCAATGCGTGCAAGGCAGGGTACAGGTACATACAGTAGTTACTGCAGGATTTAAAATACTGTAATATTTTGTGCGTACCCACTTTTCTGGATCTGAATTTCAGAATGTAAGATGGAATCAATTCATCTACGGGTTTACATTAATTTTGAACACCGCATATTTATGGAAAAGGTGCGTTACATGCACAAGAAAGTTTGCACTGGCCAAGTAATGAGAATAATGAAATTTGCAGATCCTCTCTCACTTGGTTCTAGTACTGATGGCCTGTTTTTCGTGGTACTAAATACTTCACCAAATTGGCTTTACTTCCTTACAAAATGATTTGCTTGAATTGCGTTCGGAAGAAACCCAGACAGTGAATAGTAATTTACATTACAGTAGAATTTCGCTACAATTATTTTTAAAAGCTGATCACACAAATCTAAAAATGTCCTTCACTACGGAATGTGAACAGAAGATAACGAACACACACACACTCTAAATTTACGATGGGTGACTTTAATTTTTTTCTCATCTTGAATGTTCAGTCACAAGTAAGTGTACAGTATTTACAAGAACCCAACATTTGCATGATTGATCTGCACTCACGAAAGTAATTGCACATTCTATCTAGCAACCCAATCCAAACTATTTTGAAAATATTGCACCAAGTCGAGCACAGTTAGGCAATTCATTCCAAAACTGGTGCAAGAAGATCTTCATTCAGAGATTCAAAATTTAATGAGACAATTGAAAAAGTATATTTTTTATTCATTTTTGTATGGTCTTCAGAGACATCACGAACTTCAACACTTGCAAGCGTAACAGATGAACCTTTTTTTCTTGCGGCAATGCGATAGACCTTCAACACTGTACAGTACAGTATTCTTTTCAAGTCAAAATGAGTAAGCAAAAATTGGAAAAGTGGCCACGTAATGATGAATTTTCACTCCAAAAACTAAAACTATGCCCATCTCCATCGATACAAGAAAAAGCAAAACAAGGAGCACAGTCGGTGAATAACTTCAAAACAACTTTCGCGGTTCAAAGCCAAATAATTATCAACAACTATTTCCGCAATGATCATTCCGAAAATAGAGGTTTCAATGGAACTAAACTTGTGCACACTCAAAAAAGTGTTTCATTGCTCCATAACGCAAGGATACGTTTGTTACTTGTCTCTCAAGTGCTGTACCAACACATCCTTCATTTCTCTCCTGGATGAAAGCGAACCAACGCTCCAAAGCCTAACAATATCCCCAATACAATAATCGTCAAATTAATTTACAACTAACCTGAAGGACTTGCACAAACTGGCGACAGTTCCCCATAAGCTGGCTTCACGTCTGAAGTCGAACAATCTGCTGATACGTCTTCCCCATATTCCTCATCCAAAGGCGGAGTGAGATTCAGCCGTAAGTTCACGTTCTCGCCGGGTCGAAAGCCGCGATGTACATCGGTATAATTATTTGTCAATCCATGAATTTTCCTCGAATCACTGAACGCGCTTCGATCATCGTCCATTTCACTTCGAACCTTCCTAAAAAAAAAGAGGCGGCGCTACGTGTACAATATTCACGTATACAGGATGAAGCATTGACAAATTTCACTCACTGACGAGAGGACACGCTTCAATTTCATATTGAAGGACAAAAACAAAAATGTTCACAAAAACTTGATAAGATATACAAAATTGGCGTCGAGTTCACAAAAGAACGGGAGAAACTTCTAGGTTGGTATGTGATTAAGAATCATTTAATTTTTACTCAAGAGCATGGTAAACCCCTAAACGACGATGAGAAAGAAAGTTGGCACTCTACAATTTCACAGGTTTACAAAGGCAAACCTTTCTTCGTGTTTTGAGCAAATATCACTTTCAATTTCCAGTTAGTCAAACAAATTTGTTTTTCAAGGCAGATACGAAAAAATCACGTCTTGTATGTTTGCGATGAAAGACAACAATACCACCGACTTCTCCAACATCAGGAGTCCACCATTTAAAAATGCTAAGCGACGTTTGATGCGTGGATTACGAGACTTCGAATACCAAAAAGTTCACTCCATCACTGGAAATAGGAGACCCAATCCACAAAAATTACAGCAAACTTTTCTTAAAAATAGGAAAAATCATATCACATGTATTTCAAGAAAAACCAGTTATCAAAATGAACATGACAATGGAGGCAAGTGATCTGCTAAGTTTCCTTCTTGATTAAACTTGATGCTGCGACTACTTTTCCAACGGACGTCGAAAGCACAAAATGTAGGGCTCAGGTTCGTGGAAGATGTAGTGCTCCCATCCTGGGGATTGGCGAACTCCGAGATTCCGCCATTCAGTCTCAGTGAGTCGATGATTCCGCGGTACTTTGGCACCGTCTTCTTTCCGTAGAATAACGTGTCTATATTCGTAATACTCGTCAGTATACTTGTCAGAGTAGTACATGTCTTCGGGAGAAGCCATCTCCCTATTTCCACGCGTATTTTTCACAACCCGAGTTTTACTTTCTTCCACTGACGTGTCACTTTGATGGAAAGAAAAATTTACATTAGCATTCACAACTTGTTCATCAGCCGCATATACCTTTTCATCGAGAGAAAAAATTATTCTTTCTAGGTTTGCTCACCCTCCCGTTAACATTATCAACCACCACTGTGCCAATTAAACTGAATCAGCCCGTCACACATTTTCAGACCGAAATTTTTCGAATTAACAGCAGAATACGCCGATATTCAGTCAGATGCATCAAATTTAGGTGCAAACGGGTCAGACACGCGAAGAAAGACATCCCCCACTCACGGCTAATTTTTAATTAGCACTCCAACAACGTTTTGAGATTTCTCAAGTTCAAGAACAATGAAAGCATACAAAAATACGCGAGAAACAGCAAAGCAGACTATTTTACAAAATTTTAATCATAAATTACGGCACCAAAACATCTGATCTTGACTGTTTCACGTTTCGGGCTGACTAGTTACAATAAAATGAACATGTTCTAAAATTATGCTGGAATCCAAGCGTGTATATCGATCGCACATCGAAGACTTAATGTTGGAAATACTGCACGAATACACCCCGAGCGGTACGAATTAGCACTGGAGGGTTGAATTACAATAAAAACTCAGATTTCAAGAAATCTAATGAGCCGGTCGTCACCCAGTTCGCGTCAACGAGGTACAGACATACCTATTCACGTTGTAATTTTCACTTGAGGATCTCTAACTTGATACAAAAAAATCATCAGGTACAATGCTTTTGCGAATTTGAGAAAGAGTTGAGTTACAATTTAAGCTTAAAATTTAAGTATACAGTAATTTTAGAATATTCCACAGTTTTCAAACGAAGACGGTCATAAACCTGGAAATTGGAATGTCGCTATACCACTAATCATAAAATATGAAACTGCGGCATTTCGAGAAGTCAACAGATTCACACAACTAAGTAACACTCACTGCCAGAAATTCACGCATCACAATCGAAAAAAATCTGAAAAAAGGGCAAAACGGTCAGATTACTCGTCAGGAAGGGAATAAAACCATCGGAATGAGAGAAAGAGTACGTCCACAAACTTCTTTTCTGAATTTCTGAGTCCAATTAAACAAAAGAATTCCGAACTGAGGCAAGGTTGTTCAAAAGAGAAACGAATAGAACGGCGTAAGAAATCATCTGTACTGTGGGGGGAACGGTCCGCTCATTACACCCTGATTCGGCATCATCATTCCCATATACGGATTCCCTGGCATCATCCCGTACCCTCCAACCATCATTTGCGGCGGCATTCCGTAACCGGGGTTTCCATTCGGCGCCCCGGGAACGAATGATGGCGGCAGCGGAGCAATCCCTGGCGGTGGCAGGGCTGGCGGAGGCGCCTTCGCGTACTTTCTCTGCTGGCTTTTCCGCTCCTCCAATGAGATATCGTCCGTGGGATGCACAATCTTGGAATTCGCCGTCGCCGTGACTATTTGGGGCACGTCCGCCGTCGGAGTCTCCGTCGCAGCAGGGAACAATGGCTTGCTTATGGGCACTGGCGGAGTGGCCACGGGAAGCGGTGGCGGGATGATGGTACCGGCAATCGGGCCAGTCGGGATCGGCATCATGTACGGGTTCATGCCGTCCATCCGCATTCGCTTCTTTTCCGGCTCTTCACCCATCAGCGCACTTTGCCTAGCTTTGAGATCTTCGTCAGGTATGCCTTCCATGCCATATATTTCGATCTCCACGCTTGAGCGGCTCGGAATGGAGTTCGGTACCTTGTCGACAGTCTCTTTATGCACTTGCATACAATGAATGGCGAGCCCGGGGCCAGTGAAGAGCTTTTTGTGGCATATGTGACACTTGAAATGTTTCGCTTTTTGATGCTGTACAAGAATTTTTTCATCTTCAAACTCGCGATTGCAATACCAGCACCATGGCTTTGGCGGCTTCTTCTTCTTGCGACCCATAATTAGAAGTTGCTTTCAGCTTTAACAAGGCGAAATTCTGAAAAAGTGGGACAAAACTTGCACTGCAAATCAAACGAACAAGAAACCACACGATCACAATTCACTCGGATACGAAATCAGTTCACGTGTCTCTGGAACAGACGAAAAATAGCGTGAATCCATATCCTATTCCCACAACTTTAAAAATATTAAAACCATAGAAACGCACGAAGAATTTCATACACAGCTGGATTCTGCAAAACACATCTTGTCCGTTTGGTACCCACGGAAGAAGCAACATCAAGTGTGGAGGACAACAGCAAGTCGACATGAGCAAATCTAGAATGTCAATCCGATGGTTTGAGCTCTACATTATAATAATTCGAAAAGAAAAGCTGGGAGCTCTTCAAGAAATCGATAGGAATTACATGCCCATTGAAATCGCTTTAAACCAAATCGCACTCGGCGAATATACCGCGGAGTCAAAATGCCTAAAATATAGCACCAACCTACCATCAAAGAAGGGATGAACGAAGAGAGAACGATTCATCCCGACTTTCAAGTGGGGAGCAGATGTTTTTAAATAATGTGTCAACAGCCAAACCATGGATCACAGACGACATTCACGTGGTATCTGAAATGGGTGAACGGACTTGATAACATACGGTGCTCTGCGTTCATTCGCAAGTGACCGACTCTTTACTCATGACCAACGCACGGACCACATAGCGAAGTATCATTCGCAATCCTCAAGGAACCGTCAATTCTCATTAAGCAATGGTGAACTTCTTATCTGCTTCAGCGGCCAGACGATCCATTAAAAACTTCTGACAAAACCTCTTGTGAGTAAACCACTCCAGCTTTTGACAAACAGCATCGCAATAAGAAACGGACTTGCACTTGGAACACTTCTTTGACGCGCTTTCGGCACCACACGCAACACACGGTTCGGAGTTCTTGAACATCCGCTGTCCATTCAAGTGGGAATTTATCAACGTGATCGCCGTCGGGTGGTCTCCAATTTTTGTGTCCGCCAAAGTTCCGACGATACTCACAATCATCGGAGATTGCACGAAAGGGAATAGACGAATGACCTCACGAAGGTACTTCTCCATGTATTCTTGCGTACCGTCGGGTTCAACGCCAGTTAGGAACTTTTTCTTGAGAGCAAGCAGATGTTTGCTTTTGTCTTCACTGGAACATGCTACGCAAATTAAAGACCGAAAAACTCTGCATGATACGAAAAAACACCAGCAATTCTCACTTTCTCAGAATACTCACCAGTTGACAGAAGTTTCTCATAATTTGACAGTACGTGAAGCTTGAATGCAAGAATGGTATTTGCATCACCATCCACTGACATCTCGCGATTCATCATGTATTCTAATATTTCACCAACAAGCTTAGCGTTAACCACTAAAGAAATTTGCTTCTCCGCAAAATTGATCACGCTCACAGGGTGAACATTTCCCTTGAAAAGAAGATTGACTCATCAATAAAAGCACATGGTCAATTTCCATCGAAAGACTTACAGTACAAATGAGATCGTGCATTGGATTTTCAATTGCTGCCCTGACTTCTGCGGTTACCTTCTTGGCTTTGAACGGCCCGTCAAGACTTGAGAGTGGAACGTAATTATTGATTACAGAAACAGCGTCATGATTACCTAAGAAAAATATAACGAAAATAATAGAGAATATTTTTCATGTTACAGAAGCATCCTTCACGAACCCACGAATGCCCCGATTTCAGAAGCAGTTTTGCCAACCGTGTTCTTGGCAGTAGGATCAGCACCGTGGTCTAGAAGTAGACGAACAAGATCGCATTTTCCTGACATCACACCGAAATGCAGCGTTGAATACTTGTGAGCATGTTTTGTCGCGTTTACATCAGCTCCCTGCAAATATTCGGCATTATGAAAAATCAAAACTAAAAATAAATATAATCAAAAGCTCACATGGTCTATCAATAAACGACAAATCTCATAGCCACCGCGGTAAGCAGCGTGTTGCAACGGAGTCATTCCTTCACCATCGTACTGAATCGGAACAACGTTGGAATCTTGCAGATATCGCCGGATACCTTCGACATCCTTCTCGCGGACAAGACGGAAGATCATCGCTTCTTCAACATCCGCGGATGGCACCGCTGGCGTATCCTCACCCATTTCACTGATCAACGCGAAATACACTAGTAAAACCTGCGAAGAGCGGCAGAATTAAATGTTTGTGAAGGTTGATTTTATTGAAACCGAAGCACACTATCAACACGATCACAGCTAAACATATTTCACAGCTGCTTTTCCGGCCTCTGAAAAAATGCGATAGGTGAGCTTCAACAGAATGTGATAGATCAGAGCTTGGTCTTAAGATCGGTCAAAATTTCGAGCTTAGCATTATACGAAAAAGATTCATCCATGGCAACTTCCTTGCTCACGACAAACGCGACGTCCACTGATCCGAACAAATGAGAAACTGTCCGCAAGGAAACTTTAATTCTAGTACCAGGAATGAGATATGATGACCACCTACTTAGCTGGACTTTAAACATCCGAAAGGTTGCACTGTACGCAATTTCAATCATTATAGTCATACTGTGTTTTACATTTCTCAAGTTGTTGATACCACTGAGGAAGACGACCACAACGATTCAGAAAAGACGGAAAGCATCAGCCAAAGAGCGGCGCATTCAACGGAATCCTGCACGAGGAAATCGGCCACTCCGAATAACACGAGTCTTCGGCGGTATCGACCAATCGGCACCAACACACTCCGAATGGAGAAGATTCGTGCCTACCACAGCCGAGTGGAGAAGAGAAAAATGCAACTTCCTAGGCATACCTCAACCGAAGAATAACGGAAATGATCGGCAAGAAGGAGAATTAGGTCCTCCAGAAACATTAGATTCCATCAATGGAGACGGAAATTGTTTATTTCGGGCCGTAAGCAAGGACGTGTGTCTGTCCGAGTCCTACCACCCTCTTTTTCGACGAAGAGCGATTAGAACAATGAAGAACCCGGCACTCAGGCCGCACTTCGAGCTTAGAATGGGGATGACAATCACCGATTACTTAACAGTGAGAACATTTCAATTTCTGCGTTTCAGGCACGCCTGTCACTCCAACAAGATTTATTGTAAGCAAGGCTTGCACCTGTGGGCCGCATGCTAAAATGCCGTCCAAGTGAAAAAAGACTCAAGAACATCAATATAGTATGGATGTACAATTTTTGACATGCGGTATTCATATTCCACAAAATCTGCAGGTAAAAATATATCAAATCAGTAAAATATTTTTAACGTTCATTCTCGCATAATCTTTGAAAACTTCTGGAACAAATAAATCAGAGTTGCTTTGCATAGATACGCGGGTGGAGTATTTTTTTTTTTACCATTTTTGACGATAAGTGTATTGCTCAGTGGACGATCATGTGATTATCATGGCAATGAGATAAGGGCGTCTGGATGGGATTACACTTGAAGATTTGCCTGCCTGAAAGCTGTTTTCTATCACAAAATACCCATTGCAATTACAAATTGGTACAGCAAAATCTGGCTACAAAAAGCCTTAACAAACAGGGCCACATTATAAAAAAAAATTACTGCAATTATTTGCAGTGTAAACTGTTCCTCTCATCTTCATGCAGCCTCCAAAACTCCTCCAAAACTTAAAACGCTAATTTTTGTACCCTCCGAACTTCAGCAGGAACATGTAGTTGTGATGCAGCGTTGTATACTGGAACATATCAGCTACAAACGGAGGATAAGCTCTGGGCACCGAACTGCCCTACCGTTTATGCTCGGAAATTTAATGAAGGGGGAATCAAATCACTTTTGTTGCAGAGCCTGGATCATACTATGGATCAATACTATAATGAGATTTGTGACGAGGTTCCACTTTTCCTGTAGAAAAGTCATCCTAGAACCATGAATTTAGTGATAACTGTGTAAAACTCACCATTAATTATTTCAGCCAAATTTCACAGAAGGCACGCAGTACATTACATTACGTAAACAGTTTATCAAAGCCAATATTCTCATCTAGATAAAATCTGCAGCTGCACGAGGCAAAGTGCAAGATTTTTATGTTCGTGGAGAAAACGCTCATACTTATTAAAATTTCTGCATTCTAGGGAAGTGCTATGCATAAGCTCGGTACCTGGGGAACAGAAATGGAGATTTACGCATTGGCAACGCTCCTCAACACGCCAATCGGCATATATTACCGGCCGCCGGGATCCAAACGGTTCGACTGGTACTTTTATCAGCCCATACATTGGCAGGAACAGGTTTTGCCCATCAATATGGCAGTTTATCTGTACAACAAGGGAGATCATTTCGATCGAGTCTTAAGTGTGCGGGGAACTACTCCTTTGCCACCTGTAATATCTACGCAAGAAGACGGAGACGACGAACCAGTAACCGAAAGTACAAGCTTCCTCGGGATTTTCTGAAACTTCGCAAATGTTCCATCTCTTCGACTGACCGCATGGCGATCGCTAGCGAAACCTTTGAAATGAAAGTAGAACCTCATGCGTGATAAAAATAACGTAATACTGATTTATCCGAAAAATCCCTCAAAATTTGTCATACATAAGTAGTCTTCCCAAGAATCTCATGGCATTGCGGCACAATAGCAGGACGCACAGTCAACTCCACCTCCTCACTACGCACCACGTCCTTCTTCTCATCGTTACACTCACACAATGCCAACAAAGGAACGAACAAAAATGTTGACATAGCCCAGGAAACAGTCATCAGGACAATGAGGAATATCCCGATCTGAACATGCGCCAGGACTCGTGAGGGTAACAACGTCACCCCAGCCAGAAACGTGGTCACTGCGCCCATGGCCACGGGTGCTCCCACTGCACTCAACGCCTCCCCCGCTCGCTCCCCAACCGACATCTTGAAAGCGAGTCCGTAGTGTAACGTGAAGTCCACAGCTAGTCCAATCGCTAAAGCAATCACGCAACTCTCCAGAATGTTCAAGGTCCATCCAAATAGCGTCAGTACTGCGACAGTTGTGAAAATTACGCTTCCGACAGTGATAATCGCAAAAAACGTGACGACGACACTTCTGCTGACAGCCACAAGGATAAGAAATGCTAATCCCATGTCAGTTCCGATTGTTGCGAATGTATCCGACGAGAGACTGTTTTGTAAATCGTAGAACTCCAGATCACTGACGAACCAACCGTTTATGCCTTCTGGAGCTTCTCTCATTTTGGCGTCAAACCAATCTTGCACCTTTCCGTAGAACTCAGCCATTACACTTTTGTCAAAGGTGAAATTATACACAGATGGATACTCAACAACAAGTGCTGAAATCTCAGTTGAATTTTTTTTGAAAATAGGACCAGAAAACGTCGGGTTCTCGAATTTTTCCATAGTTTCTCTCAAGGAAGCAATTCCTTCCAAGGCACAGTTTTCGAACACCTTGGGTTTGTAGGGAAAGCGCGAATCTTGACAACACGGCCATAAATTCACTCTTTCAATTGTATCAATGCAATCTCGGGCCATGAAGTAATTTTTGAAGCTTTCCACAAAGCAATTTGAAATCATTGCCCCTGGGGTGTCCAAGTAGAACCCCTGTTGTCGAAGTTCCTGGCAGAAGTCCAACATGAAAACTTGGGCCTCAGGAGAGGAAATGTTGAAATTCGTCGTCAACGACATCATTCCTTTTCCCCAGTCATCAGGATTGAGAGGATTTCCTACATCAACGGCTTCCACGCCGAAAACGAACCTCATGGGCATCGCAGCATTGAACTTTTCTTCGTCTTCTTCGAAATCAAACTGCTTCTTCAAAATGAACACATAATGCTCAAAAGGATGCTTCATGTCGAACAGCTGGACTTCGTTGCTGTGAGGAAGTTTCAAACCCGGCCAATACGTCACCAATACTACGCTGATCACGGCTAGACCTCCGAAGACTCCGATCCACACGAATTTCAACGGTATCAACACCGCTTTCAGAATTTGTTTGAAGAAATGCTCGATAGCTCGCGTGAACACATCTCGGAAGCAACAACTGGTTGCTTTCTTCTGGAAAAACTTCTCATAGGCAATCAGCCAAGCAGGTATCCAGGTCAGTGTCAGAAACAAGTTCACCAGCACTGCTGTGCCACCAAAAATGCTGAAGCACTTCACTGCGGTGATTGAGGAGACGTAAGAAGAATACAGAGCCACTGCTGTTGTCAACGAGGTGACAGTACACGGCATCCAACTGTGCTCCAAAGCCTCTCGAACATCTTCTGCGCTTTTCCAAGCAGCCCAAACAATAAAAGAGTCATCAGCAACAACGGCAATCGCCAACGCGATCGCCATCAAATTGATGTACGGGAAGAACCGGATGTCGAACACGATTACGTAGAAAAAATACGCGATTGCCAGAGACATCACACCGGAAGTCATCGTTGCAAAACTAAGGCAAAAGGATTCCGAATAGATCCACAGACAACAAAACAAGGCAACTATAGCTCCGGAAACGCAGAAAAGCGTGTCTCGGATCAAATAGTACTCGAAAAGCCACCACTTCAGCCCCATCTCGACTCCGGTTACTTCGAAGTTCTGAAACGTAGGCGCATTTTCAAGAGATTCGAAAAACACATCCGAGGTGCCAGTGCTGGAAGCCACGGGTAGGAACACAGCGGAATGTTGCAGTTCCGAGGATTTCCTCAAAAATTTGGAATCCATCAAGTAGTAAAACATATTGAACACGGCACTATTTTTGCAAGACTCTGGCACGTCTTGACAGGCACTTCTTGTACAAACGGCGAGTTTCCCAGATTCATAATAGCTAAGACAAGTAGTAAGAAGGTCTTTCACAAATGCAACATCGCGTTCCGTTATGTTGCGACAGTTCACAGAACGCAGTTCAGAAACCACACGACTGAGAGACCACGTCGGGCAACACCGCGTTTCGGATGCGTACAAACACAGCTGCTTGTAGCCAATGCCTGAAGCAATGAAACTTTCCAGTTCACAGATTTCTTTTAAAGCCGACACAGTGAAGAGATTCTTTGAAGAGACAACAACTCGGGCAAAATCCGGGCCCAAATCACCGCAAGAATACTGCTGATCAACGTCACGTTTGGAGATTCTGGTTACGTTTTGAGGAAGAAAGCTGAGGTGTCTTCCTTTCTTCAGAGCTTCTTCCAAATTTCGCCAAGTTTGAACTCGTTTCGACAGCGGAGTTCTTCTCGTTTCAAACCCTGCGTCTGGTGAAGAGAAGTCAATTGAAGGGCCGTAAACAACTGCAAGGGCTGTCATTGCGGAGGTGACGACAATTGAAGAGATGATCACAACGTAGAAATAATTCGATAAAAAGTCGCAGTATGTGGCCATAAACGCATTCAGCCATTGTTCTGGACGCAAAGAAAATTTCAATATTCTTTTTGGCTTTTGGTCCGAACTTGGTTCCATGATGCGGTTTCAACGGCACATCAATTTGAGCATTTGAATTCTTCCGAGGTAACTTGAGATATCCCCATCACAACCTTTCGTGTGACATTCTTTCAGGTCCCTGAAAATGATGAAAATTACTACGTAAGTAAATTTTGAATTATTTTGACGAATGATTTCAAACCGAACGAGGATTTTTGTTCGTTCTTGAACGAATTATTTGTGAAAAGGTCTTACTGCATATCCGAGTTCACGCTTCAGAATCAACGAAGAAGTACAAAGATTTTCTCAAGTTATACGATTTTCAAACAGTGAAACACCTGGACGGTTTGATCCATCACTTGAAAAATTTGACCGGAAAGAAGGCTGAAGAGAAAATCCACAGAAACTTCTCGAGTGTTCGAATTATTATTTTTTGAATGGCTACCAACACACCGTTTACCCTCCCAGCCACAGTCGGTACCTGGTACCAAATCAGGCGTCATCAAAAAGGTGATTCCTTTTTCTTTGACACAAGCTTATTCAAGGAGACCACGGTACAAATTTAGCTGCACTAATAAGATACTTGGTCTACCCCGTACGCAGGTTGATTGATTCTTGAGGCTTCGAATAGCAACTCACCGTTGATTCTTGTACGTCAGGATTTTCATTTCACCGCGTTAACTCCAGCTGCCATTCGCAGCACAACCTCGACGTATTGCCGAGGACGCGCCAAACAAACAAGAACGTATCGCGCAACCTTTCTGAAACACGTAATGACTCGTTAGTTGCAGCTGCATATAGTAACTGAACTGCATGTTAAATATCAATCCAGATTATGTTTTATAAAGCAACGTCTTAAAAAGGACATAATCATATAAAGCTATACAAAAACGGCCTCCGTTTTCAGTCACTCTCGGAGGAACTCAATGGAGGAGAAGATTCCATCGTAGGCTTCCTTTCGTGCTTTTCGTGTTTCTTCTTGTGTTTATGCTTCTTCTTTTTCTCTTTCTTTCTTTTCTTTGACTGCAAACCAAACGAGAATACATTAACAAGACGATCACTGACCGAACAAGAGCGTTCATAAAACCTCTCAAAATATAAAACAACGAATCACACCAACCTTATGTTTATGTTGTCTGGACGAACTACGATGTCGATGTCGCTTTCTGTGTTTATGCTTCTTCCGTTCCACGGTTTCGTCAGAGGCGGAACTCTCATCCGACAAAGATTCTTTCTTAACAGGGAAGTCATCAGAAAAATCCGTGTCCGCATCCGAAATGTCCCTCGACGGCGAGGGGGATCGAGAACGCGTATTTGGCGATTCTGGTTCTATTTTGATGGGTACTTCTGACGGGGAGCGAACCCGGTTCGGAGATAATGAACGGCTTCGAGACGATCGAAGGGATATAGATGAAGCGGGAGAAATCGAACCGATATCCGGTTTGATGTCTGCCTTAATATCTTCATCCTACGGGATAAGAAAATATTCCCGGATACAGTTACGTCAGCGATCGAACAGCGTAATAGTATATAGAAAGGATCGATTTTTTCAGCAGTCAAAAACAGATCACACGAGTCAACTCATGCCAACAGAAATGCTTTCAAAGTTTTGAAAGTTAAAAAATTGAATAAGAGTCGCTAAGCTTTCAGAATAGCGTAAAACAGTAATTCTTCATGATAACTTCTTTAAGAGCTTTCTCTACAAAATTGAACTAACGCTTCAAGTTGAATAATCCCAAAACTTACGGAGAGTTCTTCTTTGAAACTTTTTTGCGATGAATCCAAGTCAGACTCGTCTTTCGCATGAACTGGATCTCTGGACAGGAGTTTGAAGACGTCAGGTTCGGAAGAACCATACAGACCATAATACAAATCCACCAAGTCGCATCTGAGCCTCGAATCGAAGCTCATTCCCGTACTGAAAAAAGGTGGAAATGAAAATTTCAGAGCTTCTTCCAAATTTCGAGATTAATTTTCAAGAAAATCCTTGAATTATATGAATTTGGCTCAGATTAAAGGAACAATACGATCTGCCCCAAAATCTTAGGTGAAACAAGCAACCTTAACCTAAGCTATGGGTGGTTAATTTATTCGGCGATCCACTTTCAAAAGTCACTCAGTTGTTTATAGATATGAGTTTTTTAATCCGCGAAAATCGTGATATTTCCTGAAGCACAGCAGATTTACAGGTGATGAAAAAAAGACATCTTCTTGAAAAACTTTGAGCAAGAAACTCGAACGATAAGCCGAAGAGTCTCCTTCAGGAAGAAGACCTAACGTATCTTTCGATAGCATGTCAAATTGTGACTCAGCAAACGATAATAAGAGAACCAACTTGATAAGATTCCAAAGCCTTTCAGCCAATTCCGGGGTATTCAGATGCTGTTGTGCCTTCGAAAATGGCGAAAATGGTGGTTTGTCCACGAGCATTCGCACCAACGCGTGTCGAATCTACGGAGGACCCAAAAAAAAAAAAACACGTAAGGAAAAGAACACTATGGAATGGTGCATTCGGCTTACCGCTGGTTCAGCATCACTCGTTACGATGTCCAGCAAATGACTAAAATCTTCCGACGAACCACTCAGTTTCAAATGATCCACCAAACATTCCAGTGCGGCAAGTCTGACGTCTGCCAAAAAACTCGAAGTTTAATTCAACCCCATGATTATTCCGTTCCCAATCAAGTTTTAAATGCCAGCTTTAACATTGCCTGTTACTTCGACTGCTGCATTTGTTCCTAACCTTAAGAAAAATATAGTAATACCGGTATATTTCAATGAACATTGCCCATTTTTTAATGCTTCCAGAGAGAGTAGAGAATTGATTTGATTACCACTCTTCCGACAGTTCAATATTCCACGTATCCGAACAGAGAAGACACCAGAAGTCGGATTTGGGAAACAAGGAAGATTCTCAATCGGTTCAATTTAATTTTTCTGTATAACAAGGCAATTTATTTTAGTTTTCAGCCCGCGCAATAGAACATTCAGAAAGGCTAGGAAAGAAATCCAAAAAAATGTTAATGGGTTAATTCGAACGTACATAGTATCTTTTCATGTGTAACAAACTTCATCGCTGAGAATATTGATTCCAATTAATGAAAAATACTTCGTTTAACGAAATAATGTTACAAAAAAGCTCAGAAATACATGATACCTTTATGCGCTACAAAACGGAAACTTTCAACAACAACAAAACTTTGGTTCTCCTTCCCTGGGACACTTTCATCGCAAGGAAAAATCAGAACAGGCGTGTCTATACCACCGGGAAGCGAGCAAGGCAGAACGTCCAGCATATTTTTCTTCTTATAGAATTTATATGTTCCTGTCAAGACCGCACCCGATTTTACGACGCATTTACAACGAAAAACGTGAGGTCAATACTCGAGTGAACCCGGCAATTTCACGAACCCTAAAACTACAAAATTAACTTTTTTTACGCTCGTAAAATATGACTGTGCATTCTCACCTATGAATTGACCAGGTGCAGCATAACTTCGAAAGAAACTTGGCTCTGAGCGAAGATGACCGCATCGCTGCAACTTCCTGATGGCTCGTAAACACGACACCGTCACAGTTTGTTTGTAACACGGCAGTAATTTCTCCAGGTTGAGTTGCTGCACAATTTCGTCGATTACCAGCTTGATGTCTCCACTTTTCTCACTAAAATTGAAAATACATTAAAAACTGGAAAAAGACTTTCGAAAAAAAAAAAAAGATCAGAAAACTTACCCGGTCACTGAAGCAGGAGTGATTGTTTCCTCCAACGCATCAACCAACGCGGCACGATAATAATTGTCAGAAAATTTATTCTTCGAATTATCGTTGTACTTGAATAAATCCAGCAAAAACTTCAAAACTTCGCTGGGACACTTTCCTTGGGCGTTCCTCAACGCGCCTATCGCTTTTGGCATTGCCTTTTGCAGGTAATAATGCTGCAGCGAAGCGAAGTCATTTTGACGCACGATGTGTGATCCTTGTTTACAGCCGAAAAATTTTCGGAAAATTGCCAACATGGCAGGAGGTCCCACCCAGCTAGGTGCCATTTTATTCGCCACACGAGCGAGACAATAACCAGCCTGCTCGCGAACTTCGATGTAACACTGATCGTTCTCAATTATGTCATTGAGCGCTTGTTTGGTCGGAGTTGTTGGGAACTTCTCGAGATATTCGATGGATTCTATCTGCGCTGTCACATCACGCTCGTACCTCATCTAAGAAAAAAAAAAAAAATCAGGGACACTGTCTATCAAAATTCTTTGAGGCGTTGCATTATGCGCGACGGACAATTCGTGCTAGTCAACGACGAAAAATCGAAATCAAACTTGATTTTGAGGAGAGGAAATTGGATACATTAAAATCCATCACCCGAAAAAAGCATGCACACTTCGTGATTTTTTGCATTCAGGATAATTTTGTTGTTGCCCCAAAGAAAAACTCTCCATATACTGGGGATTTGTGGATGAACTTGGAAGCATTTTTGTCTTCGATTCCATCTTCCATTTATGTTCCAAGATTCAGCCACAGTCACATTTGGGAAGAAAAATTTGAGAAATTTGTACCTGGAGAATCCGAACATAGTCGACTCCTCGAAAAAATTTTGTGATTATGAAACTGGAAACTTTGTCAAACAATAATATTTTAACATGTACTCCATAGGATTTCTGCTGGGACTTGAGAAAAAGTTTTTTTACTGAGCATCTGTAGTAATGAGATTTCACTGTACCTCATACTGCCACATGTAATCCGGCTGTTCCATGTCAACTCTACGCATCACTGTCATTTCCGGGTCCAAACGGATCCACAGAACCGGAGACTCTGCATCCATAGCACTCAAATCCATGTCTACTTCTTCTCCGGTGCACAAGGGGATTTTTTTCTTCTTATGCCTTCTGGATTTTGAATGGCACGTGATGTCAGTTTTAGCCACGGTTCCTTCAATTTGGAGTGTATGTTTGAATGTTCCGTCCAGCTCCTGAACAGCTACCTGAAGGGCAAATTTAGAGAATTAATCTAAACAAGTTTCATGTCCTTTGTGAGTGAGATGGGGTTGGATTTTATTTAGTGATATATGGCAAAAATTCTCTCATATGCACGCAAATCTTTCCAATGCTTCGAAGGTATCTCAAGGCAAATGCTGCACTCGAGGAAAAAAAGAACATCATTTCCATTGTTCTGAATATGCTTTTCGATTGGCAGTGCGTCATTACATTTTAATACTGTACATTATTCAGGTAAAGACGTTTGTGGATACAAATCTTCAGACAATCTCGGGGATCAATAAATAATTCAGAAAATTATCAAGATCGCTTCATTGTCCATAAATTAATTTATTCTTCCAGCACTGTACTTTGACTTTGGCGACTTTCACGCTTAGCATTATGAACATAAAAACCGCCAAATTTGCAGAAATGTGTCATCATCGCAAAACAATCGTAAGATCTAGAAGACTTTCTGAGATCATGAATCTTGTAACTAGAAATGTTGATCACTCGAAATATTTGGCAGCAATTGGAGTGTATGCAAATTCGTTCAGGGTTTTGAGCGTGCCAGCTAAACCTGCTTTCTCAAGAGATGGGGTATACTTGACATTTTATCTTTTCTCCATGGAAACATGCGTGAGCAAAAGTTGAACCAGTATTCAGATCATACAATTTAAAACTTTTTAAAATTACTGTACTGTACATCCTTTCAACAAGAGAAGCACAAATTGAAGAAACATTGTATCGAAAGTTTCAAACTAGTACTGTGCTCATCGACGAAGGGAAAATCGCTGAGCAGTTAACTGGGAGAAACAGAGGAAAATTAAGGCGACGCACAGCCAAGTATCAACAGAGCAGTTCAGGGAATAAGAAGACGAAAAACCCAGAAGATATTCTCATACCGTAAGCGGCCCGACGTACTTCATTGTGCCTCTTGCACTCACAGCTTCCTGTCTCACTTCCAACTCGACCGTATTTCTCTTCCGGTTGAAAACAAACGAACCCCTGAACCTCGCGTGTCCGCCTTGCCGAACCCATTGCTCCAAAAAGGTCGTCACGTCCTTCCCAGTAACCGTATAAATCGCTCTCACAAACGCTTGCGCACTAAGCTTCGTCGCAGCCTCTTCTCGCTTCGTCGCTAACGCGAGCTGCTTATTGAACACTTGAATCAATAACACTTGGCCAATGCGATGCTCCAGCATTCGCACCGCCAAGTGGGCTTTCTTCACAAAAATCTCGGAATACAACGGAGAAGTCGTGGCCGCATAATGAGTGCCGAAATAGAAATTGTCCTCCGTTTCCGCGGCTTCAACTTTGACCACGTCCCCGACGAGGGAAATAACCCTACGATCCAACGCTACTCCCCCGAATTGTTCTTCGTACTTGACAACTTCTTGCAGCTGGGTTTGGATCATCCTGCGGTAGACGTTGTTGCCGAATGTTTTGCGAATGTAAAGGCCGTGAAGGTAATTCGCGATTCCGTACGTAACCCAAGAATCGGCCCATTGATCGATCGCAATGAATGAGCCGAAAAACTGATGAGCGATGGCAATGCTCAACACTTTGCGGGTTTCGTAAGTCTGGTCAATGATGGCCGACGTGTGCAACAAACTTGTACTGCAAGATCAAGAAATTCATCGACGGGATTAAAAAAGCCTCAACGTCAATCTCCAAAAGAAACGATCTGATTTGTTTAAATTTTTCATAATTAAGTAAATGCGTGATATTCTATCGCAACACTTCCGAAGGAATCCGGAATGATCGGTATTCGCAGAGCAAATTTCAAGCACGATCATCTCCAGAATATGAAAGAAACCCAGATCTATAAAAAAAATTGCAAAACCGAATTATTTAAAAGATTTGCAAGAAAATGTCACCAAATTATTAAACTGGGAATAAATTTTTTTTTATATACGAAGCTACTGTATTTTAGCCCAGAGATTTGAACCGGAAATGTCCGGAATTCATGTAAAGCTAGAAGTCTTGATTTCTCATGCGCTGAATTGAAAATTCCAGATCAGATCGTCTACCACAAGCTACACATTTATATGATTTATCAGGGTAAATTTTTGTCTACGGTTTGTAAGAGGGGTATCTCATCTTCACCTAATCGTAAGAAAATTTCCGTTCGATTCAAAGAGAAAAAAAAAAAGCGACCACCGCATTAAATTTCCCGGATATGTTGAGAGAGCTTACTAATTGGAGTATGAGTTGTTCGAAGTTTTGCTGCACTTCATTCCAGAAATAGATCATATTTTCTTTCCAAGTCACTAACAATAAACGCGCAATTACCACCAGTCAACTGCGTCTCACCTGAAAATAGCCATCGTCGCATACGGCATGACATCCGCATATGCTTGATCCACAAAAACTTGCTTAAAACCTGCGTACGGATAAGGCGTTCCTAGCACGTCCTCATAAAACTCAAATATAGCGGGCAGAAATCTAGCGACAAACTTCAACAAGGGCTTTAAATGCGGCAAGCAGAAATGAGTCACTTCAGGGATGTTAGGATCAACGTAGATTTCAAAAGGTCCGACAGCTAACGAGATATTCGGAGCGGAAGTCGGAACGTCTAAAGAATAATGGTACGTTTTCCGCCTCATGTCCGGCGTGTACACAGTCTCCAATAAATCCCCGTTCGAAACTGCCACCATCCCATCGTCGACGGTGAACTCCAACTTCCAAGTGCACGGTGACGAAAAAGTATCGATACACGGGAACCACAATCGGGCCGAGTTCCAATGCGTGTACGTGAACATGTGTGCAGCTCGCTCAACCAAAGTCCCTTCGCATTCCGGCACAACAAATTGAATCCCGCCTTGAGGTTGTTCAAACGAAAATTCGACGGTCACTCGGATTGGAGCAGCTGTCGGGGAAATTAAAGACGTCGCAGATGGTGGGATTGGAATGAAAACTTCTCCCTTCACGACGTCAGCATCCACGTCATGGGCAACTTCTTCGTGCTTTATTTTCAAGTACTCCGAGGAGCGCCTTTACGAAGAAAGCAGTAATAATACCGTAATTATAAACGATTCATGTCACGATCGCAGTGAGAATAAAATCAGATTTCCACGCGCAGACGGGATTTTTATTCGATTCTTTTCGACCATATTTTCGAACTAGAGTTGGACAGTAAAGACCAAATCATCACAAAAGATTTTTAGCATCATTTCTAGTTTACAAAAATTTAATTTTAATTTCTATTCGCCCAGTGTGACACTCACGGATGCTTAAAAAATGCTCATCAACATTACTCCTTTAATGCGTAATTCCTAGCAAGATATGATGTTCTTCAGCGATTTCCTCCTTCAAATCAGCGCAACAAAGCGTCTTTTAAAATTTGCCGAAAATTATCCAAAAAATCTCCTCACATCAACAGGCTGAACCGGGCATTGAAGGATCACAAGTTTCGAATTCCATAGCGAAGTGACGTACATGTACTGTATTCTCAATTTCGGGAATGGTTGTTCTCGGATGAAGAAAGCTGAAACATTTGTTCGACTAGGTAGAGAATTCCGAATTTTATCAAACACAGTCCTCACCTCAGTTCCGGAGTCCAACTTTTTTAAATGCTGCAACCTTCATTCAATTAAATATTTGTTCGAGCCATTCTCGAAAAAAATTTTCCGAAACTACAGTGCAGTCTATACTGTACTGCAAAATCCGAATACATCTGAGCAATTCGGAATTTTAAGTTTATCATTTTATCGGAAATCGGACACTCTTATTTACATCATCAAGCAAGAGGATCTCACGGATAATCATCCCCGTCGCAAATCTCCAAGAAGGGATCGAAATACTGGAACTGCGCCTCGATCGTGTCGTTGATGCAAACTTTGTATATGCGACATTGCTTCGCATTCAGGCATATGAATCGATACGGCTTGACACATTCCAATGTTAATTCGACGCATCCCTGAAAAAGATTCAACGAGCTGGTCAATAACTGAACAGTCGAGTACAGCATAAAACTTACAATAATACTGCGTCGTTGGAAATTGAGACCCGTCAAACAAACAACCTGATGAACTCTGTGAAAAAGAAAATGCTTAAAATTTCGCCAATAGAAAAGTGCAGAATTTCTCACAGTTTGTAGGGACGCTGTCTGCTTTTCCCTATCTGGCGCTTTTGGGTGCCACACATTGCTTCTCAACGTATTTCAATAATACCCAAATATGACATCTGTAAACACGAAAAAAAAATGAATTAAATTATTGTGCGACCATTCACAAGCACACGAAAAGTTACTTAGAGCTCAATCTCCATTCAACAGCCTCGGTTCCAAACACTGAACAATGAAAGCAGCAGCAATAGAAAAGAGGATTTTTGGCCACGAACAACTTTAAACCTCAGTGGCTCATGCTCAAACTCAAGATTTGCTGGTCTCATAAAAAATACTTCAGTTTCCTCAACATTCTATGTCTTCTGAATTAAGCAAACCCAATAAAACTCAAATGATGGTATCGAAGGTTTCTTCAGTTCTTCACTTTCTGATACTTTTACGAATGGATATGAAGTATTGTGAATCTTCCTTCAGAGGAACTCACTAATACCCGTGTTCCCGATTCAGATGATGAACAAATAATGGAAGTCAAAGCAACACAGAGGTTGCTTTCCAAATAAGTAAATGTGGCATACTTCACTTCGTGCTCATTTTCAAAAACACACTTCGGCGACATCCTCAGAAAACATACTTTTATCACATTCTTGCAAGAACCCAGCAGACAAAAAACTGATTTAAATCCGGAAAAGCTATAAGATTTTCCGTTTTTCCGCGGCCTTCTTTTTCATATTTTCCATCCTTTTCTGGGCATCTATCAAGGCAGTTTTCGGATGAGACGAGGAAGATCCCGAGGATGTTGATCGTCCGGCAGTTAAATTAACAAACGGAGTCTTGGAAGATTTGCTACTTCCACTGGATGCTTTCTTCTCTTTTGACAGCTTGTCTTTCGAAGATAATGACTGAAAATGAATTGCTTACACACGCGGATTGCTCAGAGAAAAATTCCAGCATACGTACCTTCTCTCGATCACTCGATGACAGAACAGAACGACTCGCTGGTTTTGCACTTCCCTGAGCAGAACTGGTAGGCTTTACTTTCGACGTATTTGAGGACTTGCATTTATTGCAATACCACACATTACGTGGATCATAGGCTTCACGGGCCAGGGCATTCGGTTGATGACAATCCTGGTGATACATCTTTTTGCAAGTGTTGCACTCCAGCAATTGTGTGGGTTCAGCTTTTCTGACAGATTCGGTACAAACATAATTAAACTTTTGGATAAAAAAAAAAGTTCATAATATGCGCAGAAAATTCTCATCGGAATCCTCTTCATTTGAATGCACGCAATATTTTAGAAAATTAGTTGAAATTTTTCAAAACGTTAGAAAATCTCAGCACATTCAAAATTACATATTCATTTCTTCATCTGAAATATGTTAACATACAATGAAACTGTTAAGTTCTCTACTTTACAACTCTTCCTCTCGCACAATTTGATAATTTTGGGGAGAAGTACGAACTTGCAAACATCACAGTAGACTCCAACGAGAGTACGTAGTACATAATCCATGGTGAAGTCGCCGTCGCCGCTTCCAGGAGAAGTCTGCGGAAGCTTGACTTTATTCGATACTTTCGACGTTGAGGAGTCTTCCGATGTTTTAAGCCGTTTCGAACTGGATCCGGACTCTTCGCTGGACTTCTCCAGAAGACGCTTATTTCCTTCGACTGATTTCATGGTTTTTGAAACATGTGAGAAGGATTTCAAGCTATCCACCTGGAATTTTTTATAGAGTACGAGCGTAAGCTGATTTAAGCACGAATTGCACTTGAAAATCAAACGTTCTTGAGAGATATTGCCATCTTTACCCAAGTGTTACCGAAACATTACAAAACCTGGAATGCATATCACCTTGCCAGCCTGTTTTCCACTCGTGAGTCGTTGAGCAACCAGATCTTCGAACAGCTGTCGAAGTTCAACGGCAGATTCTTCCCGTTTCGACATGAGCAAACGAAATCCTTTTAAAATTACTGGATCGAAGTCGTGCGTTGGAGCGACTGTATTCATTTTTTTATGTATCAGCCAATGCTCACATCAGCCTACAGTAGTAACGGCGAACTTCACAAGACCGCCGTATATTCGTAAGCACAGAACGCTTCAAGAGGTTTCGCTCACAATAATCTTCACGAGAGATATGATCACGTGTATGCCTGGAATCATCGTCTAAGATTCATAAAACTGCATAACACCCACGACTCAATCAATCACACGGGATCCTTCCAACGAAAAATCTCGCGTTTTATTTCTGTCGAAATATCAACCGCATCGAGAAG